ACAATGTGGAAACAATGACAAAATATTGTCTCAAACATATTTTAGACAATGTGGAAACAATGACAAAATATTGTCTCAAACATATTTTAGACAATGTGGAAACAATGACAAAATATTGTCTCAAACATATTTTAGACAATGTGGAAACAATGACAAAATATTGTCTCAAACATATTTTAGACAATGTGGAAACATTGACAAAACATTATCTCAAACATATTTTAGACAATGTGGAAACAATGACAAAACATTATCTCAAACATATTTTAGACAATGTGGAAACAATGACAAAATATTGTCTCAAACATATTTTAGACAATGTGGAAACAATGACAAAACATTATCTCAAACATATTTTAGACAATGTGGAAACAATGACAAAACATTATCTCAAACATATTTTAGACAATGTGGAAACATTGACAAAACATTATCTCAAACATATTTTAGACAATGTGGAAACAATGACAAAATATTGTCTCAAACATATTTTAGACAATGTGGAAACAGTGACAAAATATTGTCTCAAACATATTTTAGACAATGTGGAAACATTGACAAAACATTATCTCAAACATATTTTAGACAATGTGGAAACAATGACAAAATATTGTCTCAAACATATTTTAGACAATGTGGAAACAATGACAAAATATTGTCTCAAACATATTTTAGACAATGTGGAAACAATGACAAAACATTATCTCAAACATATTTTAGACAATGTGGAAACAATGACAAAATATTGTCTCAAACATATTTTAGACAATGTGGAAACAATGACAAAACATTATCTCAAACATATTTTAGACAATGTGGAAACAATGACAAAATATTGTCTCAAACATATTTTAGACAATGTGGAAACAATGACAAAACATTATCTCAAACATATTTTAGACAATGTGGAAACAATGACAAAACATTATCTCAAACATATTTTAGACAATGTGGAAACAATGACAAAACATTATCTCAAACATATTTTAGACAATGTGGAAACAATGACAAAACATTATCTCAAACATATTTTAGACAATGTGGAAACAATGACAAAATATTGTCTCAAACATATTTTAGACAATGTGGAAACATTGACAAAACATTATCTCAAACATATTTTAGACAATGTGGAAACAATGACAAAATATTGTCTCAAACATATTTTAGACAATGTGGAAACAATGACAAAATATTGTCTCAAACATATTTTAGACAATGTGGAAACAATGACAAAACATTATCTCAAACATATTTTAGACAATGTGGAAACAATGACAAAATATTGTCTCAAACATATTTTAGACAATGTGGAAACAATGACAAAACATTATCTCAAACATATTTTAGACAATGTGGAAACAATGACAAAATATTGTCTCAAACATATTTTAGACAATGTGGAAACAATGAAAAAATATTGTCTCAAACATATTTTAGACAATGTGGAAACAATGACAAAATATTGTCTCAAACATATTTTAGACAATGTGGAAACAATGACAAAACATTATCTCAAACATATTTTAGACAATGTGGAAACAATGACAAAACATTATCTCAAACATATTTTAGACAATGTGGAAACAATGACAAAACATTATCTCAAACATATTTTAGACAGTGTCGAAACAATGACTAAACATTATCTCAAACATATTTTAGACAATGTGGAAACAATGACAAAATATTATCTCAAACATATTTTAGACAATGTGGAAACAATGACAAAACATTGTCTGAAGCAGCACCTCCTATGGGTATATAAGAAATAACAAAGGGCGTTGTATGTGTCGGTATGTATGTATGTATGTATGTATGTATGTATGTATGTATATGTGGGGGGGGGGGTGGGTTATAACAGAAACGTAAAGACAAAATTACCATATTAAGGGAGGGACTTATCAAATATGTTATGGAAGTGAAGAAATTTAGGTAAATTTGGGGGCGGGAAGGGGGGGGGGTGGTAATGCAGTTCGGATAACGAGAGAAGGGGTGCCTTGTTGAACATGATCTTAGTGCACTTGTTTTCATTAGCGAGGCGCACACGCCATTTGAAGGTGACATATTCGAATCCCGGCGCGGTAACTATAGCTTTCTATTTTTATTTTGTCTAGTGTGTTCTTCTTTCTTTCTTTCTTTCTTTCTTTCTTTCTTTCTTTCTTTCTTTCTATGAGTGCCGATCGATACATTCTCTGTTTATTACAGATAATGAGAGGGTTAGTGAAAGAGAGAGAGAAAGAGAGAGAGAGAGAGAGAGAGAGAGAGAGAGAGAGAGAGAGAGAGAGAGAGAGAGCAGTTAAGATTTTTTTTGATAATACCGAGCATAAAAGTAAAGGACCCTTTTCCAGGCCTTTAGGCATATAGGGCTAGACCTATATTTGTATAGACCAATAGGCACAAGATGGGTGCTGCGGTCAGCATCACACCGGCCGCCTCTACTTCCCGGGACTGTACCCGGTACCCACTTAAGGCTGGGACGACCTGGGAGCCAAGGCCATCTACGAAAAAATGACCGGTTCCGCCAGGGAGCGATCCACGACCTTCCGATCCGCGGCCAGCGTCTAGCCGCTGCACCACGGCGACTACTGCCGATTATGATTTATCGCCCTGGTTTTCCCGTTACACAGATTCCCCCAACTTCCGGGAAATGAGTCAACTCCAGGTTTGTTGTTGTTAGCAACGCAACGTTTGGCTAGCAACAGATGTATTTTTATTAACACACAATGTACTTTTGTACTTTCATTATCTACAGGATCAACATTACGAGAATGTGATGATTTGTAACGTTGCTATCACAGTTTAAATAAAACAACAGCAGAACTGTAGCTATAATTTCTTCCGCAAATGTCGCCAGTTTTAGTCAGCTTAGTAAAATAGTACAGGTTCTTCTGTATATAAATAGAGTAGGCCGTGTAATAGTATAATACGGCACTCTTGGGAAGAGTGCCCCAGTAATACTAAATAGAAGTAGTGGTAGCTGGGCTTACCGATACTATGCTGGTATTTGCCTAGCGACAGTGCACTCTTGTAAACATACGGTGTGTACTCTTTTGTTACACACCACACTGGAGTTTTTAATTTCTGGTTTCTGATTTACTTTTTATTTAAAAAACAGCATATCATATATTTAAAAAAAAAATTAATAGTAAGTTAACAATTAATATTTAATTAACTGTTATTAACTGCACGTAATCAGTTTTCATATTATTTTGTTAAATATAATATTAAAAAAAAGCTTACAAAAGACAGAGACAGTGGTGATAGGTGGACAGCCAGAAACCATATTTAAAAAAAAAAAGCAATGGACACAGAGATAAAACAAACATGTGAATTTAAATATCTAGGGTCAATATTCCCACCGGAGGGAAGTATGGACAGAAAGGTCAACACATGATGTTCTAACGCAAAAAAGTCCTGGGACAAGTAATATCACCTTTGACACACAGAAGTATACCTTTGTCTACCAGGGCAAATTAAAAACAATTTTTGAAGGCAGAGCAGAAGATGGAACAGAGGCTTCATGGACAAGCCTTAAGGAAACTTCAGACCAACTTAGACAGCCCATTACAGATGGAACAGAGACTTCATAGACAAGCCTTAAGGAAACTTAAGACCAACTTAGACAGCCCATTACAGATGGAACAGAGGCTTCATGGACAAGCCTAAAGGAAACTTAAGACCAACTTAGACAACCCATTACAGATGGAACAGAGGCTTCATGGACAAGCGTTAAGGAAACTTAAGACCAGCTTAGACAACCCATTACAGATGGAACAGAGGCTTCATGGACAAGCCTTGAGGAAACTTAAGACCAGCTTAGACAACCCATTACAGATGAGACAGAGACTTCATGGACAAGCCTTAAGGAAACTTAAGACCAACTTTGACAGCCCATTACAGATGGAACAGAGGCTTCATAGACAGCCTTAAGGAAACTTAAGACCAGCTTAGACAACCCATTACAGATGGAACAGAGGCTTCATGGACAGCCCTAAGGAAACTTAAGACCAACTTAGACAGCCCATTACAGATGGAACAGAGGCTTCATGGACAAGCCTTAAGGAAACTTAAGACCAACTTAGACAACCCATTACAGATGGAACAGAGGCTTCATGGACAAGCCTTAAGGAAACTTAAGACCAGCTTAGACAACCCATTACAGATGGAACAGAGGCTTCATGGACAAGCCTTGAGGAAACTTAAGACCAGCTTAGACAACCCATTACAGATGGAACAGAGACTTCATGGACAGCCTTAAGAAAACTTAAGACCAACTTTGACAGCCCATTACAGATGGAACAGAGACTTCATGGACAGCCTTAAGGAAACTTAAGACCAACTTTGACAGCCCATTACAGATGGAACAGAGGCTTCATGGACAGCCTTAAGGAAACTTAAGACCAACTTTGACAACCCATTACAGATGGAACAGAGGCTTCATGGACAAGCCTTAAGGAAACTTAAGACCAACTTACATTAAAAAGAGCACATAACCTCCCCCCCCCCCCCCCCCCCCCCCCCCCCCCCCCCCCGTCCCCTCCCCCACTCCCCCCCCCCCCCCAAAAAAAAAAAAACTTTTATGAAGTAAATAGAGGAAAAGAAAAAGAGTAAAGAAGAAGAAGAACTAGGCTGTTCAATATAATTATCCAACCAGTAATGACACCTTCATAATTATTGCTGTATTTCATCACAGCTGTCAAGTTATTTATGGTGCCTTCTTGTTGGAACCATTCCATATTTCCAGAGAGTAGTATTCGGCTGTGCTATCGTGACGTGCAAGAATCACAACAATGATGTTGGTGAGAGATAACACACTATGTGACCATGGAACATCTGGTTTATTATTCTTTGTTTCACGTTTCGCATCCAAAGATTATTTTATCAAGTCTGGATTATAAATAATGTGACGGTTTTTCAGTTTACTTTTTTAAATCAACTCTAATGCACAAGAAACATGAAGTAAGTGGGTAGGTTATTAAAGAGTTGATATTGTAGCTATGAGTACAATCCGATGCACAGACGACGTAATGTGTCATGAGGTAGACACAGCTGCAGGTCAGATTTGTCAAGTTTACACAAAGTTCTCTTCAAGAAAGTGTCACTTTGTTCAGTACCTGAATCCTTTATCACCAGAACAACCTTATTTTTCTGCCCAGATCAAAAGTCTAGGTGAGTACACAGTGTGCTCTTGAATCTTTTATGTTTAGAAATTTATAAATTATTGTTTATTCATAAATAATTTGAATTGATATCTGTATTAGTATGTAATTAAATGTGTGTTTTGTATGTTATTTTAGTCAGTCAGTCAGTCAGTCAGTCAGTCAGTCAGTCAGTCAGTCAGTCAGTCAGTCAGTAGCATGTCCTTTAGCTTTTGTGAACCAACATAGGACTGGTACTATTAACCACATGACGCTAATGAATATGTTGAGAGAGGAATCTGAGCACCTACGTATGTGTCCGGTGTGCTGTGAAGATAATCTAACTCATAACTCATAACCCATAACAACCCTCAGGAAAACTTCTTGATCACAAGCAAGATGTCCCACATCCGATATACTTATGTGGATGGAGATCATCCGCCACATCCTGCACCCATCTTCTCTTTGGCCTTCCTCTTGCTCTCTTCCCAGGCATATACCCCTTCATTAAATTATTATCTCTAAATTTTCATAACGTTCCAAGTGACTTTCTTCTTCTATTTCCTTTGTCGTCTCACTGTTATCAGGTTGTAACCCAATGTTGTGGTTTTCTGCATTTGCCCTCTAGGGTGGCATGAGTGATGGATTTGTTCAACTTTTTGCAGGTTTAATCGACACCATTTATCCATACCTTTCTTGGTCTTCCTCCCAGATCTTCTACTGTAAAAAGTCTCATATACAGTCTGGTCTGGCTGCATTCTCATTAGATGGCCAAACCATTTTGTTCTTTGTCTGTCAATATAATCCAGACATGGTCTCAATCCAACTTTCTCTCTAATGCTGGATTCGTACCCTGACTCATCTAGTGTTGTTAGTGACCTTGTGGAGACAGCGCATTTCACCTGAAGTTATTTTCTGTTTTAGTAATTTTGGTAATTCTGGAATGTACAAGAGATACCCTGGTAGTATGTATGTGATATATACTTGCACTGCCCACTATTGCATACAGGCTCAAAGTTCTGCAAGCAAAGTCATATCAGAGTAGCTGCGGGCAAGAGGCACCTCCTGCATGAAGCCCTGGATAGAGCTTAAGGTCACAGACTGAAAAGAGGAAAGTCTTGGATGGCACAGGCAGAAGACACAATTGGACATATGTGCAGGCTTGATTAATTTAAGCGAGGAGGGTAGTGGGTCAGAGTGTCCGTTTGGTTTTCATACTTGTGTAGGGTTCTAATCACTTTGGGACATGAGTGCAGGGACTGGCCAGCTGGTGCTATAGAATCAGAAGTTCAACAAATGATTCATTAAAATTCCCGCCCAGGTGATGTGATTGTCTATACAGATGGCTCTGGGGCATGGGGGTTCATAGTGAAAGCGAATGGACATCATTCAATGTTTCTTGAGTAGTAGCAGTCAAATACACCACAGCCGGCTTGCTAGGTCCGTCGAGTGGTTGGGCAGGAACATATCTGACCTGGTTGGCCCCCTTCTCCTTCCAGGTCAGCCATTGCCCCGTTAACCTTAAACCTCACGGCTAACCTCAAGTGACAAAAATATTTCAGTTTTTTGTGTTTTATCATCTTTAATAGCCAACTTTCTTCATTATTCAGTTCTTGAAGTATGGATGCTTTTGTTCTTTTATTTATCCATGATATTCTTAGAACCCGTCTATAACATTTGTATTCAAAAGCATTTATGCGCTATTCAGCTTGTTTAGTAAATGTCAAGGTCTCACAGGCATATGTTGAAATGAAAAAGATGTATGATCATGGAAATCTAATTTATTCAACCAGCAGTAAATGCTTTTATGTGTTATGAAACCAGGCCATCTGAGTTCTATTTTATATGAGTGTTGAAGGCTCTACGACTAAGTAAAAAAGGAAGATGGAGATATGGTGAAAAAAAAGTGGAGGATTACTACTATATACAACATTCTACTAATTTCATGCTGAACAATGTTGATTTATTGGCGAAGAAAAAGGATTTTAAATATTATGAGAATATGTCTGCTCAGTTATTCATATGCTGCGAGTGCCCATTAGCTAAATGCCTGTCTGTTCAGTGATTCACATGCTGCAAGAGCCCATTAGTTAGTAGCTGTATGTGTGTTCAGTGATTCACATGCTGCGAGTGCCCATTAGTTAGTAGCTGTATGTGTGTTCAGTGATTCACATGCTGCAAGAGCCCATTAGTTAGTAGCTGTATGTGTGTTCAGTGATTCACATGCTGCGAGTGCCCATTAGTTAGTAGCTGTATGTGTGTTCAGTGATTCACATGCTGTGAGTGTCCATTAGCTAAATGTATGTGTGTTTATTAATTCACATGCTGTGAGTACCCATTAGCTAAATGTATGTGTGTTTATTAATTCACATGCTGTGAGTGTCCATTAGCTAAATGTATGTGTGTTTATTAATTCACATGCTGCAAGAGCCCAATAGCTAAATGCATGTGTATTCAGTGATTCAATAGCTAGTTCAATAGCCCAATAGCTAGTTGCATGTTCTTTCAGGATGCTGGAGGCTAACCCTAGCATTTATTGGCTGTTGTGTGGTTTTACTAGGCAGTTTTTTATTCTGTAGTATGTCATTGCCTTCTGACACATATTGTTCTTGAAGTCAAAGCAAAGCAGTCTGCAACCAAATTGCGTGCAGTTGAATTTGAACCCTAGTATACTGAGATTATGAAACTGCATTCACAACTCCTAAACCACTGACAACGACCTGAGCATATAACAGAAGCAGAGAGAAGCAACACTGCAACCTGCCGGATATAAAACCTTATATATGTTACCTCATCCTGTAGACAACCTTAGCTGCAAAATCCAGCCAGTTATGAACAAGCTCACAAAGGGCTTGACAGAGCTAACGAGGGTCTGTCTGTTGGGAAACAAAAAAAGGATAAGAAAAAGTGAAACAAAGAGAATCATAAAATAATAATGGAAATACTGCACAATAAAAGACAATTTCTCACAGCATCACCAAACAGGTACTAAAATGGGAAATACAGGGATTGCGGAGATGAGAAAACCCCAAATAAACTCATGAACATTGATGAGAGAGGCCAAAGCTGCTGGACTGTATTCCACCCATGATATTGAACTGCACAGAAAGGAGGAATAGACTGAGTCCTATGTGACACATAATGGCACAGCTGGACAGTGAAGGAATCTAATGCCTAAACCTAATACCCAGAAAATAAGCTGAAGGATGAGTTTGAAATGCCCTGCAGGAGCGCTAAAAGCTACATTGATGAACAGACTAAACATACATTAACTCTGCTGGTACCAAGCAAATCACTATATGTTCATTGGCTAACTGATGTGCTGTAGACTATTTTTACTTTTGTTTACTACCACAAGTGGTTATCTTAACCCATTCTGTCTGAATTGTTCACTTAGCTCTTTCTAATCCTGATTGTTGTTTTAATTTATTTAGATCTATTGAAAGTTTTAAAGTGGAACATTAGATTATTGAAAGAGTTTAAGAAAATATTTGCTGGTACCAAAAGAGTTGAAGGCTGTCACATTCATCAGCATAATATTGTTTTACATCTGCCAGCTGCGGACAGCACAGTCACATTTGGTATAGCTGGTCCAGACATAGACCCAAACATCCAACCTGGCCACTGGCTTCATTCTGTGGGCTATGAGAGTGACACGGGCAAGTGCTACACATCTCATCATTGCGTGGCAAACACGCAGGGAGAGACACTGCAAGTTGGTAAACAAGCATTCATCTTTCTTATACCTTTCATCTTAGTACATTTCAGAAATCAGAAATGAGGTCATAAGTGACAAAATGGTGTAGAACCAATACATCTTCTTCTTCATTGTGTTCACCAGCTGCACACTCTGGCAGAAAGTTCTGGTTGTTTATCCACTTCTGGACTGCAGTCGTGCTCCAGAACCTGAGTGTTGCGTGTGCATCAGTTTTACAGATCTAATTCACTTAAATGCAGACTGTTGGTTCCTTGCCTCTCAGGCAGATGCACTCCCACTTCAAAGGAAGCTCCCAATTAGTTGATTTTTACGACATGCTTTTGGGTAGTTCTTGTTTTCCCCACAATGGGATCCCAGAACCCGCACGGGGAGAACCAATACTGAATTGGAGCATGGGCCCTCAACCAACTCACACCAAGCTGTTCTATCCTTTGCTGTCTGTTCATCTTCTTCACTGTCTCCTGTAGCTCTTCCCATGTCCTCCCCATCTTTTTAACTTCACTCTAGCTCCCTTCTCCGTGTGTTTTTGGTCTGTATTTATTTCTGAGCCTCTGAGGGTTCCAGTGCAAAGACATTTTATTTATATTCTGAGGTATTCTCAATATGTGTCCTATTCAATGCCAGCATCTTTTCTTCACCTCTGGGTCCACTGGAATTTGTTTAATTCTCTCACAAAGCTCTACATTAGTGATTCTGTCATATCATTTTGTTTCCTCTATTCTGCACAGGCACCAGTAAATGAATGTTTTTAGTTTATCAGTAATTGCCTTAGTTGCTCTTCATGTTTCCGCTCCATGCAACAGCACTGATTTGACTTTAGAATTAAACTTTTTTAGTTCTAATTTCTTTTCACCTCCACAAATTTTGTAGTGCTCCTGTGAAAGCTCCTTTTGATTTCTTTTTATTCGTTTTATAATATCTCTGTTGTGATCTTGCATCAAGTATTTTTAATTTATCTTACATCTGACTGTGAGTGACACAGAAGAGAAATATAATCAGTGAAGTCCAGATCATCAAGCTGTTTTGTAGGGGTTCACTGAATTCCATTCTTGGTGTCAGCAGTTACTGTCTTCATAATCCAATCTATTGCCCGTAAAAATAGAAGAGGGGACAAAAGACAACCCCGTCACACACCTGTTTTTATTTCACATGTATCTGCTAGCTTTCCATCATGAAGAACTTCACATTTCATGTCCTTATATGTTGCCTTTACTAAGTTAATAATTTTCAGTGGGATTCCATAGTGCCCCATTCATTTCCACAGAGATGCCTTATCAGTGATGTCAAAAGCTTTTTCATAGTCTGTGAACCCAATGTAAAGTGATGAATTCAATTCAATGCTTTGCTCTATTAATATACGTAGTGTGGCTATCTGGTCTGTACAGGATTTGTTTGGCTAAGAAACTGCCTTTTCATCTCTTTGCCTTTTATCAGTAGCATCTTTTAGTCTTTCTTCTACTTGTACGTTCATCCAAATGTTAATGTGTTTTGTCCGTTTACAGCATGGCTGCGATATCTGCGCCTTTTGGCCAACACATCCGACTTCTGCGAGCATTTGTTGACCACGTTAGCCTTCCCGGTTAGTTTCGTAGGACACTGCAGTCTCATTGTTGTTAGGTTGTCTTTCTTCTTCTTCTTTTTTGCGTTCACCAGCTGTACACTCTGGCAGAAAGTTCTGGTTGCTCGTCCATTACTGAACTGCAGTCCTGCTCCAGAACCTGAGTGTTGCGTATGCATCAGTTTTACAGATCTCATTCTCTTGAATACAGACTGCTGGTTCCTTGCCTCTTCGGCAGATGCACTCCGACTTCAAAGAAAGCTCCCCAATTAGTCGACTCTTACGACATGCTTTTGGGGAGGCAGTGGGTCTATTCTTGTTTTCCCCACAATGGGGCCCCAGAACCCACACGGGGGGTTAGGTCGTCTTTGTTTTCCAGGTCATAGATGGTGCCCCAATCAGGCGGGTCCAGAGAAGCCAGGTAATGCTGATCAGCCCTCAAGAGAAGGCAAAGGCAGAACATAAGCATTCCCCGTCATCCAAGGAGGCTTCCACAAATGCAGAGCTAATACAGAGTGTTCTGGTACTGGGCTCACCCAAGGAATCGTCACGTCCTACTTATGACTGTTTAACCTCACTTCCATATATTGAACATCTCATCCATCACAAGCTATACCTTTTGGAGCCAGAGGTAGGCAGCCTGCAGACCTAGGATTTCGATTTCCTACTCAGAATGAGTACTCTGCTTCTTTTGCAGACTTTTACTGGAGTGGACTTCCTCATCCATTATAGTTTTATGTGCCACTTCCCACATAGATGCCTAGGGGCATCCAGTGTGGCAGTATAGGGACAGATGCATCTGTTCCATTCTCTTCCCATGCCATGGTTTATGAACTCTATATCTCTAGGGACTATCAGCTCCAAAGATCCCTGACAGTTTCCTCTTATACCTTCAGACATCAATGTGAATAAGTTTAAAGAAATCAGCAGTCAACCTGAGGTTGTTGACATCTCCACAGAGTTAGTCCTCAAAGGGAGCAGGTGTTAGCCGTAATAATTTTCTCTGTTCTGCATATATTGGACACTTGCAGCAAGTGTTAAACCGTCATTTTACCCTTTCCACAGTTACAGTCATCAGTGTCTCCTATCTTTGGCTTATTGAACAAGTGGTATTTCAAACTATTGTGTCCTGTTCTTTTCAACCAAGTTGGTAGTATGCATCATCCTTCTTGTGGTCTGGATGTTCAGAATCACATTTGGTACTGTAGTTAACTCTTATAAACCTGTTGGCTTCATCATATGTTATGTCTGTATCAGGTTGGGGTAGTCTTTCACCTTCCTTTGCTAGTCTGTCAGCCTCTTCAATTCCAGGTATGTTGCAATGGGTTGGAATCCATTGTACTACAACTTTTTAATTTCTGACTTAGTCCAAGGAGTGTGGCTCTAAGGTCTGCTAACATTGTATTGTTTTTGCTCTTCAGTACAGTGACAACTGACTTCGCGTCTGCGAAGATAGCTATGTGTTTCTCTTTTTTTTTCTCTGACAGAAACATTTCTGCTGTAGTTCGCAAGGCCTCTGCTGTAAAATTAATGAAGAATTTTTTGGTTGCAACTGACTTTGTTTTCTTAAATTCATTTTTCAGATTCAGGATTATTCCCCCACACCCGTTTTCTTTTAAGTTTTTTTGTGGGGGGGGCTGATCCATCTGTTTTTGCATGAGTCCGGGTGTTACTTAGGTATTGTTTTTCTATTTAGTTTAATGTGATTTCACTTGTTTCTGATTCATTCTGTTCTTTTTCTCAATAACAGGAATATTTTCTATCAAGTGCTTCTGTCTCCAAGCAGGGAGCTTGTGTGTAATGTTGACGGGTTTAGATATTGAAATGTTAAGTATAGGATCATCCCTGATCTTTACAAAGTTTTTTCGCTTTAGTCTTCCTCCTCCAAGACCATTAAACCTTTTATACATGGAGTGATCCATCAGCCTCCTAAATTTTTCTGCTTGTTGCTGGGTTCTGCTGTCTCTCCTATCCTCCATTGGCTGCAGTCCCATGATCTTTCCAGTTCATTAATAGGTGTTGTTTTCAGTTATAATCCACATTCCTTGATCCTGGACTTATTTTGATAAAGTTTGACAGCTGCTGTTGCCCATGCTGCAGTACCATATTCAAGTACTGGCCTTACTCATCTAGTGTACAGCTTCTTGAGAACTTTCTTATCAGCTTCCCGTTTTGTACCAGCAAGCTTTTTTCATGATTGCCATTCTTTGCCTTGCTCGTGTTTGACTTGCCTCTACCTGTGTTTTCCATGTTAGGCGGCAATCAAATGTGACACCTCAGAATGTTCGGTTGTTCTCTTGATGCAGTATTTTTCCATTTAGCACTAGCTTAACTGGCTGTTTTTTTTTAATTGAGAGGGAGAACACAGTACATGTTGTTTTCTCTTCACTAATATTTACAAGCCATATTTTTTTAACCATTTCTCTAACACTGATAAGGTTTGCTGCATCTTAATGTTAGCTGTACTAATATTTTGTTCGCCAGTCCAAATGGCTAAGTCATCTGCAAAGAGCAAGTTGTGTACTGTGGCTGGAAAATTATTTAAAATGACATTTATATATGCTAAGAACAATGTTGGTGACAATACTCCCCCTTGGGGTATACCTTGCTCTAAAAACATATTTTTCTAGTTTATCCTTGTACTTTTGTCCTAGCAGTTCTGTTCCCCACAAACATGTATTTTTTGTAGTTTTACTTTCAGTCCCTCTTTGCATGCTTTCTAAAATGCTTTTTCTAAGTCTACCCAGACTGCCAGTGTGTGTTTTTTTCATCTTGGAAAGCAGGCTTTATTTCCTGGGCTATATATGTTTTTTGGTCTTCCGTGGATCTGTACTTTCTAAATCCTGCCTGTTGTGGAGTTAGTAGATGCTTTCCTGTTAGATGCCCCATTAATCTTTTGTTTTTAGTACATTCCTTCAATTTCCCAACACAGCTAAGTATGCAGATTGGTCAACAGGCATTTGGTTCTACCGGGTCTTTTCCTTTCTTCTGGACTGGTATTAGTATAGCTTCCTTCCATGCCCCAGGGACTATTCCTCTCTTCCAGTTATAATTCTAGTAATTGCCCTTTTGCCTTAGTATCCAGTCCTGTTATAATTTAATTTGTGATCTCATCCTTCTATAATGATTTCTTCTTTTTCAAGGAACTTACTGCCCACTCCAGCTCTTTCATATTTAAGTTTTTGTCATAAATTCTGATTTCGTTGTGTTTCTGTGACATACTCATTGCTCTTTCGTTACTTGTTGTGTGTTCTGCTGTGACATCAATTTAGTATGCACTAGCATCAGTATATTTTTTCCTTTTAGTATGTTACTACCCTGTTTAAAAGGGGGTGGGGGGGGTGGTTCCACAAGTTATCCTTCTTTCCGATCTGGTGGTATTTCTTCGGTCTCTCAGGCTTTACTAAAAAATCTATGTAGCAATTCCATTGATGTGTTTATATTGGCCTTAATAACATCTGCTGAGATACCATCAGGACCTGCTCCCTTGTCTTCCTTCAGAAGATTGAAAGCTTGTCCAATTTCCTCTTTAGATAGAATCTTTCAGTTGATATCTAGTTTCATTTCTAAAGGTTTAATATCTGGAGGAACCTCTGGGGCTGGTCTGTTCAGAAGTATTCCGCCTATCTGTCCATTTGATCTTTAGTGTTAGTGAGTACTTTGCCCAGACTATTTTTTATTCATCCAATGGCTGACTATATTTATCTGCTAATTTCCTTGTGTTACTGTAAAGGTTTTTGAGGTTTTTTTTTTGCTGCTACTGTCTCCACTTCTTGTGCTAGGTCATCCAGTTATTTCCTTTTTCCTGCCTTTATTTACCTCCTAGCTGTCTTATGTGTATTTTTCTTGAGCTCTAGGTTCAGCAGCTCTAGATTTGCTATTGTTTAAGTCTGCCTTCTTACCTTTTTTTTTTTTTTTTTGATCATTTCGATGGTTTCTGGCATTATCCACACTTTATGTTTTCATTCTTTCTCACCTAGGACTTCTGCACAAGATTCATTTCAAATTACCTTGATTTGATCCAAGCAGACTGCAGTGCTTACCTCTTCAGCTAACTGCAGCAACACCTGCTACTTATTAGAGACTGTAACTAAAGATTGTCCCTTAACTTCTTTATCCTTGAGATATCCTATATTGAACTGGTTTCTATGATTATAAGATATTATGTATCTTTTATATATATATATCAACCACGCAAGAGATGGACCGCACAAATATCAGACGCTCAAAAGTACTATATACAAACTGAACAGAAGGGCTCACTCCAGAGATCTCTTCTTACCCTGACACTGTGAGGCATTCCAGAGATCTCTCCTTACCCTGACACTGTGAGGCATTCCAGAGATCTCTCCTTACCCTGACACTGTGAGGCATTCCAGGAGTAGAGACAAGAAGAAGAAGAAGATATATCTGTTAAGTTTCAGCTTCTTTTTACTTACAAACAGAAAATGGCTAGCAAATATATTGTCACCTCTAAAAGTCCTAACATCATAAAGGGATGTTTGATATTTGTTTATTTGTACGTATGTGATCAATTTGATTGGTTGTCTTATGGTCTGATGATTCCCCTGTTGCCTTGTGTATTCTTTTTTGTGGGAAAATGCTTCGACCAAAAGCATACTGGTTTCCTGTACACAAACTGGTGAATAATTCTCCATTTAGCTTCATTACTCCTAGTCCATGTTTTCCCAGTCTCTTTATATATATTTTGTTTTATCTGTGCATTTAGGTCTTCGCCTTCAGGATTCCGAGCCCTAGAGGTTCGTTGCTGCAGATATCACCCACTTCCATTCATATTTCTTGTTGGCCTTCTATCTCCTCTTGGTGACACCAAGTGTGGTGCTTCAAGTGTTTGCAGGTCTGTCTGGACATTATCTCTCCATCATCTTCTTGGTCTGCCTCGTGATCTATGACCATTCATCTCCCCCTTGTATACAGTTGTTACTTCACTGTCATCAAACATTCTCTTGGTTTGCCCCAACCATTTCAGTCTATTAGCATTTAGGTCACCCATTAAAATTTTTATATTGCCTTTTCTTTCATTATTTATCGTATTTTGAAGTTGCATGTAAAATTCCCCCTTAACTGATGCATCCTTATCATTTGTTCGTGCATAACACTGTATTACCAACATGTTCACCTTATGTTTTGCTGTTCTAAATGAAACTCTTATTATTATAGGACTCACATCTTCCCATTTTATTAGTGCCCTGTCTGCTTCTTTCAATATCATTAGGGCCACTCATTCAGTGTGGGGAGAATTTTCCTCTGTATGCCCGGGAGTGCAGAGAGTGGCCAGCTGGTGCTATGGAGGTGGAAGTCCAACAGTTGATTCATGACTATTCTAACCCAGAGGATCTGATTATCTATACATATGGTTCTGTGTTGAGGGGGAACATATGTTTCTGGGGTTCATAACAAAAGCTAGTAGAAAATCTGTAGAGCAGGGCAGCCTAGCATATGACACCACAACATCTAGCATGAGAATGGAGGTGAGGATGGTCTCTGCAGCTTTCCGGTGGCTAGAGAACAAGATGCATACACGCGTCGTAATTGTAACAGACTCTGAAAGCATGCTGACAAAGGTGAAGACAGGAATGCAGAGTGCCAAGCTTCTCTGGGAAGGTCACAGGTAGTGAGCATACTTTAGATCTTTTCTCCAGGCCATCCTGGCATTGTGGGGAAGGAACAGGCAGACAGACTGGCTAGATCTGCACCACTGGGCGGTGAATTGATACATGACAAGGCAGATGTGGTCAAGGCCTTTTGGGAACAAGTAACGAAGTCAGAAGAGAAACAAGATTATTACAGCCTGGAGAGAATGATGCACCTGGGTGTAACCATAGGGTCTGGTTGGCTCACTACACTCAGAGGAAAGGCAAGAAAATTGTATAAGCAGATTACAACTGCTACCATTTGTATTGGAACTCTGTGCAGGCTGCTGAAGATGAGGACGGAGTGCACATGGAAATGCTCAGAGTGCTGTGATGTCAATTCTTGACTTAACTCAACTCTGAGGAAAAAAAAATTGTTTCCTGAATGTAGAATACTTCTCTGTCCCCACCCAGGTCCATCTAGTTGCACATCATCATCATCATCATCATCATCATCATCATCATGTAGCAGGTCCTTTGCAGAACGTCGCTTTCATCACAGTCTGCCTGTAAGAAACTCGGTCTCTTGCCAGTGCTCCCGCCTCATAAACTTTCACACTCAAGGAGTCACTTATATCCTGTGCCCATCTTCATGTCGGTCGGCCTCTGCCCCTCCTTCCTGGTACCATGCCTTCTGCTATAATTTTTTCCAAATCCGTCGTGGCACATAATGCTTTAAAAAAATGTTGAATGTTGAATTAAGAATGTACATCACAGCACTCCATCCCCATCTTCAGCAGCAAGCGAAGAGTTCCAGTTCCGATGGCACCATTAACTGTCTGATTGTATATCTGCCTCGCCCTTCCCCTGAGGGTTGAGCGTCTGCCAGATCCCTTGATAACTCCTCGCAGTGCCATTCTCCTCAGACCGTAACGATCTATCTGTGCCTCCGCACTGTTCACTCACTTCCAAAGGACCCTCGCAACATCTAACTTGCCATACATCAATAATTCATAATCCTAATATACTGAATTACATAGTAGGTAGAATAGTTTGCCCACTTAGAGAGAGTGTCTTATGATTGCATACCATACAAGACATAAACCACAAGAGCAAAGGAATATAGAGCCTGGGGTAGACCAGAAGAAACGTGGAAAGAAAACATAGAAACTATTCAACAGTATCAAGTGACTATGATCAAGATGGCCAAAAGAGCAAAGTAGCCAGAACTATAACCCTGTATCTCCACTGGCACCCAAAATGGTGAAAGGTAAAGGGAAGAAAAAAGTATTAGAGACCTAGGTCAAAGTGGAAAAACATTCTAGACTGGTTGGCAGAGTAGCACAAATGATGAAATTCTTCTTCTTCTGCATTTGCTCTCAAATGGGTGATTGACATGGGTGTGTTGTGGTTTACAGTTAGGCTGCAGTATTTGAACCTATCAGCCTAACACATTCAATTTCAGCAAACCCTAGTTACTGTTAGGTCATGCTTGTTGAAAAGCAGTAAGTCTATCCTACCCTCTCTCCCCCCCCCCCCCCTTTTCTTTTCTTTTTTCTCCCTTAAATGGAGCCCTGAAAACACTCAGCAAAGGTGGAACTGTATTAAACATACGGCTGTAAAGAAACAATTTTCTGTGCTACTTTGCATGAACATGGTGTTGATGACAGTCCTCTGCTTTTATTAAAGTCATTACAGATTTGAGCCTTGACCACAAAAACTGTGTCACTTAAAGTGTATTGGTGAATATCATTCCTATATGCTAAAGTATTTACAGCTAACTTGTGATACCATGTCACATCATGTCACATCATGTCTCATCATGTCACATCATGCCACATCATGTCACATCATGGTATATATTTGTCAACACAGCGCACATTACCAGCCTTCAGTCACAATAGGTTTATATTTGTCAACACAGCACACATTACCAGCCTTCAGTCACAATAGGTTTATATTTGTCAACACAGCACACATAACCAGCCTTCAGTCACAATAGGTTTATATTTGTCAACACAGCGCACATTACCAGCCTTCAGTCACAATAGTTTATATTTGTCAACACAGCGCACATTACCAGCTTCAGTCACAATAGGTTTATATTTATCAACACAGCACACATTGCAAGCCTACAGTCACAATAGGTTTATATTTGTCAACACAGCGCACATTACCAGCCTTCAGTCACAATAGGTTTATATTTGTCAACACAGCACACATTACCAGCCTTCAGTCACAATAGGTTTATATTTGTCAACACAGCACACATTACCAGCCTTCAGTCACAATAGGTTTATATTTGTCAACACAGCACACATTACCAGCCTTCAGTCACAGTAGGTTTATATTTTGTATTTGAGCCTTTCCTGTAAAAAGTGTCATTAAAATTGACTGGTGCAGTTTGTGTGAAAAATAGGACTGCAAAGTCACCATATCGTCTTGTCCCTATCGAGTCCGATGAAGTGAAGCAGGGGAAGATCGGGGACTGGCTTTATGACCCAGTAATGAGCCGGAACAATTGTCGACGAAGGATCTCTACTGATGACCAGTGGACCCGTGCTGTGCATTTTCCAGTGTGAAGTTCTTATTTTTATTATTCCATAAATTCATTCAATATTTTCTACATATATGGTATATAAGTAAATATATGTACTTCGTTTTTAACCTGCCGGCAATCATATTCTCTAGGAGATGTGTTAGGTGTTCTTATCAACTACTTTGGAGACAAAAAATCGACAGTTACTTTTCTCAAGAATGGCTCTCCTGTTGCTACCAGGTATGACATCTTTCAGATAATGACTGTCAGTTCATTATGATAATATTGTTTAAGATTGTTGTATACAATAAACATTAATTAATTGCTAACAAATTCAGACCATATAATCGTTATTTACATTAGTTAAAGATTCTGGACGACTTACAGTTGCAGTTTGTCCACTCCAGGATTATAATCCACAAGATTAAATCCTGAAGGATGAGAATCCCACATGTACAAATCCTGGTCAGCCCCGTTCAACCATAAGGTTTTTGTAGAGCCCTAAAGTAAACCGAAGTTTGGATTAGGCAAAGACATTAAGTAGCACTTACTTCAGTAATTTTTTAGAAGAGTTAAAGTGAACTAATGTTTTCTCTGGCTGCATTTCATAGTTAATTATTTATTCATTAATTGTTGACAGTATTGATGCAACTGCATTCTGGGTAAATCTAAATGAGCGCCATGTTGAACATCAACAATAACTCTGGTAATCTGGTAATTTTAATTTCAGCTTCATAGCAAACAAGTCACCCCATCTTTGGTCCACTCCTGTGCCAACGAAAAACACACAGAATGTTTATCACAGTCCCTTGTAGAAAGACAAACTACTGTGTCAGCAAGTCTAGCATACACTCGCATTAAAAGCATATGGTAGCCATCCGAAGTGCTAACACATACAGTCTGACGTTAGAAATGCAGTTCATCATTGCTGGTAGCAGAAGTCACCAAAAGATCAGCAGTTGCACACGCGATCAATTTTAATCAAATAATGGCCCCACCAATATTGCGACAACCGGCATCGCGCCATTTTCTGAATCTACAAATCACACCACCACGTTAATCAGTCGAAAAACATTCCAAATGAAGTCCGCAGCTTACAGTGTCACGTCATGCACTCAACTCAGAAGCTGGGTAACGAAACTATATACTTCTTGTCTACAAATTGAGCAAAAAAGCAACGGCCAGTCTGGCAGAAGCAAAACAGTGGCGGTGCCTAGTGTTCATTTGTACCTGTAGCATTATGTGAGGGTTAATAAACTGTCACCCCAGCAGTACCCTACTATTAGCTGGGGAACAATAACTCATTTTGAGGTATGTTAGCATCTCATGTGGTCTTTTATGTTCATACCATGATAGATAGTCAAGCAGACTGAATATTTTTTATGTCAATTGCTGTATCATCTTTTATGAATTCATTTTTCATTAGCTTTACTATTTTATTCTTTTAAGGATTTGTTTTGATTATACAGTGAATATATAATGAGATTCATCATGGAAATCCCAGGGATTGGGGTTGGTGGTCATAACATTAACAACATACGCAAGAAGCACATTGGTCCTGAAGCGTGCTCATTACTGGGCCTACGTTGTTCCAGCCTGTGTTAGATTTTAACTGATCCAGGCTGCCAGATGGCTCATGATTAACCTCTTGTGAATTTGAAGGCAGGATTGAATCCTCATCAGTGCCACACATGCACTTGTGTTGAGGCTCTCCGATTGTAATCTTACAAAAATTGTATATGTCTTTAATATTTCATTGGTTGTTTCTGCTCAGATTTCACTTTGAGCCTAATCACAATCACTACCTACCAACAATATCAATAGAATGTGGTCCTGTAGACTTGGACCTCATGTGGCCCCCAGCAGCAGCAGGCCATGTTCCCCTGTACAGTGAGGTGAGTCCGTTAGTTACATCAGTAGCATTTCATATTTACTATGTGCTGCAGTGAAAATCTGGCACTGTGTAACCAGTGCCTATCAGGAAAACAATGTAACACGGTCACTGATCACAGAATGTCATATAAAGAAACAAAGCCAGGTTTATGATGAGACTAACTAGCTCATCTGATCACAGACTTCAGTCACAAAATTCAGCCACTCATAAACACAGACTTGGTGTGAATGGTGAAGGGCCTTTACTCCACTGGCAGATAAAAGGCATAAGAAAGAAAAACAGCAAATACCCAACAACTTTTTTATTTCTTTCAAGGTACATTTGCTTTTTTTTTTTTTTTTTAATTAATTAGAAGCCTTTTTTGTGTGTGTATTTTTATGTTTATCTCTCCTTGTCATACTTGTCAACGAGTGATATGGTGAGTATCACACTGAATATGCTTACTTCGCAGCACATTTTCCAGCTACCATTTTAGGCTGGTTTTAAAGCTCTACCTTGATAGAACATTGTAACTTCACCAGGGCCAGCAGGCAGGTGTGTCACCCACTGGCTCCCTCTCTCACTTGTAGTTTTGAAAAATATTATCTCTGCCTATTTTACTTGGATCTTATTTGTGAATATTTTATTTACTTTAAACTGCTCTCAGAGTTCAATTTTTATGTTTTTTCTCTTTTCATGAGATCACTTAGAAAACTTCACAAGGATAGATAATTAATCTCATCAGTTTCAAGCAATTGTTATTTTTTGGCATGTTATGAAACAAGAAAATCTGCAACAGGTTGTGGGAGCCTGAAGGACAGAAAGTATTAGAGACATAGGTCAACAGAGGAAGCACATTCTGGATAAGCTAACATAGTGGCACAGGGGTCAATCAGAACTGTCAACGTATCGAGAACCTAGAGTACAGGTGGAAGTTTGTGTAAGTGTTTGCTGAGTTGATGATGATGATTTTGAAGTTATATTTCAAAAGGATTTTTTTTTACAATTTTCTACATTGCATTATTTTATAATAATGAAGAATTTGCTAACTTCAGAAACTCAATTTATGCATAACGTGGCAAAAGAACATGCATGGATCTAATAAGGCCACCATACAAACAAAATTTGCAGTTACAAGAATGAATAGACATGGCCACAACTCATGATTGATTTGTTTTGTAATCTAAGGTTAGTCAGAATTAACAATTGCATGAAGCCATGTGTCGTATAATAAATCAAACAATTTTTTAAAATATATGATATTGAAGATAAAAGAAGGACACAGGGGACAGACAGTGAAATAATTTGATGACCAACAAATTTTAAATATCAGTAATCACTCATGCAAAGTTTACATTATCATGCTGGTGGAAAAATATAGCCAAGAAAATTACACAAATTATCATACAACAAATTAATAATATATCTGGCATTTAACTAGTATATAACTATTGCAGAAATGCTCAAGGCAGCAAATGATGCAGCCATTAACCAAGTGAGAGATTTGTTTCATAGAATACAGGCGGAACGAAAAAGTCTGCATCAGTGGAAGAAAGGATTAATTTTTAAAATTCTAAAGAAAACTGGAGAGGAATTTCTTTCCTATCAGTAATGCCCAGGAGTTTTTGTGAAATAATGCTCAGTAGAATTAAAGGGGTAGTGGAGAAATACTGAGAGATGGACAAGGAAGTTTTCAGTCTGTAAGAGACTGCTAGATCAAATATTCACCCTGAGACTTATTTTAGAGAAATTTTTTGAAAATCAGTAACCCTTTGTTTTGAATTTCATCTACTCTGACTCTTTGAGTCCAAGGAATGCACCATACGTTCATAGATTCCCACCTAGAAGCCCAATGAACACAAGATGCGCCAATTTTATGTCTCTCTTGACTACCCCTTGGGCCTGTGATGCTAAACCCCCTGGGAATCAAAGAGTTAAGGAGGCTTTTGAAAATTTACACAGAATATCACTGCTGACAGTTTTCAAATGCTATGGTATAATAATTTTTAAAAAACCATGAAAGCAGTGTATAAAGGTTCAGATTGTGCAGTGGGAACAGATGATGGTTTCAGTAATTGGTTTGCAGTTGAAAGTGGAGTGAAACTGGGATGCATTTTATCTTCCCTGTTATTTAGTATAACTATTGATTGGGTGATGAAAAAATGTTGTGTTGGAAACTTTGGCATTGACTGGTAGGAGAACATACAGTTAGAATATCTGGATTTTGCTGATAATGTTGTTGTGTTAAGTGAAAACAACAATGGCATGCAAAGGAAAACAGATGATTGAGCAAATAAAGCATAAAAAGTTGGACTACAAATAAGTTATGAGAAGCCTGAAGTCACCAATAAAAGAACAAGCAGATTTAACATTAGAGACAAACAAGTAAAAAGCTGGAGAACCACTAAAGACATGGAACAAAAGTTAAAAGCATTTTAAAACAAATAAATCCCTGAGGGAAATGTTGAACCTAAGATGGGATGAATTCAGAAAAGGTACAGAAATCAGAGAAATGTCTTGACAACCACTGGTAACAACAGTTATAAGACAGACAAGATAACGCTATAATGGATACATCCTGAGAAGAAATGATAAATGGATTGAGGAGGCAAAGACATACAAATAAACCTGAAACAAATGTTGATGAGAGAGCTCAAAGATGGTGGATTGATCCCATTCCTGATATTGGAGGGATTTCACAGGATAGAGAGGAATGGAGAAATAGACTGTAAGCCCTATGTGACATATAACAGCAGAAGAGGATGATGATGATGATATGTCTAGTAATGAATTTAATAGCCGATATTACATTACCAGGGTATCTTGACAGTTCTGAACCTGGGGAAGATAACCATGTTAATACATTTATAGGAAACATTTATTTCATCAGAAGAGTATGCTAAACTGGATCTACCCAAATGCTGTGAAATGTGATGCTCCGTCAAATTCATTTGTTTGCTGTAGTGAGGGAGAAATACAGGGAGAGTTGATCATACAATGTCCACATCCACTAGGCCAAGGTGAGAGATAAAATCTTGTGATGTGTGTATTGTTTTCTTTTTTCATCTTTATTAGTTCTAAATTGAGTATTATTTGCACTGAGTGAATGTATTAGAAAATTTAAATATTTGCAACTTTGGGCTGACATTTGTACTCTAACTCATTCTGTCTTACAATTTAATTTGTCTAACTCCTTCAAACTCAAATATCTACTTAGTAGTAACATTTCCTTAAGATAGGAAGAATGTCAGTAACTGAACGTTTCCTTGGGATAAAAAGAATTTCAGTAACTGAACTTTTCCTTGGGACACATATCTTTGCTCTTGGAGAAGGCGGTTTGTCCCTGGCTTGTGAACTGGATAGCAGCTGTCCTGCAGTCATGTATGTTTGCCCTTCGCCTGGGTACATGGACCTCAGAACCATGTAATATCACCCTGGGACTACTTCAGGGTTCTGCAATTTCACCAGTGCTCTTCAATGTGTATACAAGCAAGATTGCAGAACTTGAAGCACCAGGTGTTAGAAGGATATTGACATTTGCAGATGATGTTCTTACATACAGACAGGAAGTGATAGGCAACTGTAGACCACGTGGCCGACTGGTGTGCAGAGATGGCTGCTGTCATCAGCCTAGAAGAGGTGGCTGTTTTATGGTGCTCTCTGGACCAAAGAATTGTGAAAGCTAAAAACACTACATTTCAGAAGATCAGCTACACAAGCAAGAGGATGGCCACAGAAAATATGGACCGACAACATTAAAGACACTCTACGCCTTCACAACATGACAATAGCCAGTGGCAGCCAAGGTGCACTGGATCGCAAATTATTTCTCCCCACGACGCTTAACGGCAGAAATGGTTTATGATGATGATGATTGTTCCAAGCTCCATAATTAATGACAGAAACACTAAAGGAGACAACAAACTGAGCTGGGGATCACTTTCTGTAAAAGCTTGTCCTTCAGGGATCACGTGGGGGCAGTTGTAGTGAAATGCCAAAAAGGACTTAAATGCTCTCAAGATTATTGCAGCAGTGGACATGGAACAAAGAATGCTGTGAACAGTTTTCTAGCATGTGATCCTGTTGGTGATAGATTATGGACTTGGAATGCTTGCCATATCAAAGAGTCAACTTATGAAACTTGAACAAATATAGAATGAAGCCATACGAGTAATTCTGGGATGTACAAGAGATAACCCGGTAGTATGTATGCGATATATACTTGCACTGCCTACTATTGCATACAGGCTCAAAGTTCTGCATAGTCATATCTCAGAGTAGCTGCGGACAAGAAGCACCTCCTACGTGAAGTCCAGGGTAGATCTAAGGGTCACAGACTGAAAAGAGGAAGGTCTTGGATGGCGCAAGCTGAAGACATGATTGGACATGTGTGCAGGCTTGATACATTTGGGTGAGCATAGGAGTGGGTCAAAGTGTCCAAGCGAGAATCAGATTTGTGAAGGGTTATAATCACTTTAAGCCATGAATGCAGGGTCTGACCAGCTGATGCTGCAGAATCAGAAGGTTAGTAGGTAATTCATGACTATTCTCACCCAAGTGATGTGATTATCTATACAGATGGTTCTGTGTTGAGTGAATAGGGGTTCATAGCAAAAGCAAATGGACGTCGCTTGGTACAGCAAAGCCTGACAGATGATATCATGTGTAGTTTGAGAATTGAGGTGAAGGCAGTCACTGCTGGCTTTTGCTGGCTTGAGAATCAGCTATACACACATGTTGTAAATGTAACTTACTCACAGAGTATGTGGAGAAATGTGGAGACAGACATGTTCCGTCAGAGTAACAAGCATCACCTCAGAAATCCTGAGTAGTTAGCATCTTTGGATATTTGCTGCAGGTAATGCCAATGTGTTGGGAAATGAGCAAGCAGATAGAATGGCCGGTTCTGCACCACTTGGTGGTGAATTGGTGAATGACAAGCTAGATGTTGTGAGGGCACTTTAGGAGTGAGTGAACAGTGAGGAGGCACAGATAGATCAGGACAGTCTGAGGAGAATGGTGCTGCTCAACACTCAAGGGAAAGGCGAGACGGATATACAATCAGACAGGTACTGATGCCACTGGTATTGGAACTCTTTGGGGAAGGAGATGCTTATGGGAGTGTTCCCAGTGCTGTGATGTTGATTCTTAATTAAACATTCAGCATTGGGATAGAAAGAATGTCAGTCACTGAACCTTTCCTTGGGATAGAAAGAATGTCAGTCACTGAACCTTTCCTTGCGATAGAAAGAATGTCAGTCACTGAACCTTTCCTTGGGATAGAAAGAATGTCAGTAACTAAACCTTTCCTTGAGATAGAAAGAATGTCAGTAACTGAACATTTCCTTGGGATAGTAAGAATGTCAGTAACTGAACCTTTCTTTGAGATAGAAAGAATGTCAGTAACTGAACCTTTCCTTGGGATAGTAAGAATGTCAGTCACTGAACATTTCTTTGGGATAGAAAGAATGTCAGTAACTGAACCTTTCCTTGGGATAGAAAGAAGTCAGTAACTGAACCTTTCCTTGGGATAGAAAGAATGTCAGTCACTGAACAATTCCTTGGGACAGTAAGAATGTCAGTAACTGAACAATTCCTTGGGATAGAAAGAATGTCAGTAACTGAACCTTTCCTTGGGATAGTAAGAATGTCAGTAACTGAACCTTTCCTTGGGATAGAAAGAATGTCAGTCACTGAACCTTTCCTTGGGATAGAAAGAATGTCAGTCACTGAACCTTTCCTTGGGATAGAAAGAATGTCAGTCACTGAACCTTTCCTTGGGATAGAAAGAATGTCAGTAACTGAACCTTTCCTTGAGATAGAAAGAATGTCAGTAACTGAACATTTCCTTGGGATAGTAAGAATGTCAGTAACTGAACCTTTCCTTGGGATAGTAAGAATGTCAGTCACTGAACATTTCCTTGGGATAGAAAGAATGTCAGTAACTGAACCTTTCCTTGGGATAGAAAGAAGTCAGTAACTGAACCTTTCCTTGGGATAGAAAGAATGTCAGTCACTGAACAATTCCTTGGGACAGTAAGAATGTCAGTAACTGAACAATTCCTTGGGATAGAAAGAATGTCAGTAACTGTACCTTTCCTTGGGATAGAAAGAATGTCTGTAATTGCAGCTGATTTCTTTCAGTCCCAAAAAACTTCACAGTAAATTTTAAATTTTTGAAGAAATTCAATAAAGCTTTGCAAGGACATTGCTCACAGAAAAGCAACATACTGATGTGAGTTGTAGTCTGTCTCACAGTCTTTGACCTGAAATGGTGTAAAAAGATTCTCATAATACCACAGACATAGAAGAACAGAAATTTTGACATTCTAAAAAATCTGAACATCAAGGAAGACTAGCTAGTAAACAGTATCTTGTCTCTGAAACTGAAATATTTGGCGATATTAAGCACCTTGTTGGACTGGGTAAAATAATAGCAGAAATACTGGCACCAGGAAAGAGGGGGGAGGTTGACCAGCACAGAGATGGACACAGAATATAGATGTCACCTTGGGTAGGAAAGTGCACAAGGTGGGAGAACCGGCGAAAGACCAAGTTTCTTTCCAGCTGATCGGGATAATGGAGAATCTGCTATATGATGAGGCAGCATATATTCGTCATCATCATCAATTTCCATTTCTGCTGTTTAGCAATGTAAGGAGAAACAGTTTTTGGTCTATTGTTTGATAGGCAGCAAAGGCTATTGTCATTCCATGTCAATGTAGAAGCTTTTTAATGTCATCAGTCCATCTTCTCTTAGGGGAACTTGCTTTCACTTCAGATCCTTTCATGTGTAGGGCCTGCGCTGGAAGTTATTCTGGCTGCATTCTTACTATATGACCTGACAATTTGATTTTGTGCTCTTCAATAAATATGAAGAATGGTGTTGTTCCCACAGTCTGAATGATATTGTCATTTCTAACATTGTCTCAGTTGGTTAATTAAGCAGCTTTTCTCAATCATCTCATTTCTCAGACATCTAATTTCTCAGACATCTCATTTTTCAGGAGTTCATTTTTTGTAGGTTAGCCTTTAGCATATATCTACCTTGTATAAAATATGCTGTATTTCTTGTTGAAATAAACAGTCACAGTTTCTAGACTTGCTCATATCAGTCATAGAAACACATCACACACAGTGTGTTGCTCGGTATACAAGGAGGTAAAATACAGGGGAAAGAAAAACTCCTTTACTGCTTGTATCTACCACTTGGGCTAGTGCAGTCACCACCAACTGTGCAGGTTAGAATTTGTATTTTACTTTTGAGAGAAAATAAATATTTATTCCTTACTGAGGATTGAACCCACATCTTCCACTTGAGAGCCTAGTATTCTAACCATTTGACCAGCTGCTGCTCAGTGTATGGCTACCTGTTCTTGAATAGTGTCTCCCTGATGTTCTCAAATACTCTACAGATGCACACTTTATTATGTTTACTGTGGAAGTGTTTGCTGTTTTATCTACACGTTGTTTCCGATGTGGAGATTGAAGACAACTGTTGAAATGTTTACTGTTTTATCTACACGTTGTTTCCGATGTGGAGATTGAAGACAACTGTTGAAATGTTTACTGTTTTATCTACACGTTGTTTCCGATGTGGAGATTGAAGACAACTGTTGAAATGTTTACTGTTTTAACTAGCTGTTGTTTCCGATGTGGTGATTGAAGACAACTGTTGAAATGTTTACTGTTTTATCTACACGTTGTTTCCGATGTGGAGATTGAAGACAACTGTTGAAATGTTTACTGTTTTAACTAGCTGTTGTTTCCGATGTGGAGATTGAAGACAACTGTTGAAATGTTTACTGTTTTATCTACACGTTGTTTCCGATGTGGAGATTGAAGACAACTGTTGAAATGTTTACTGTTTTAACTAGCTGTTGTTTCCGATGTGGAGATTGAAGACAACTGTTGAAATGTTTACTGTTTTAACTAGCTGTTGTTTCCGATGTGGAGATTGAAGACAACTGTTGAAATGTTTACTGTTTTAACTAGCTGTTGTTTCCGATGTGGAGATTGAAGACAACTGTTGAAATGTTTACTGTTTTATCTACACGTTGTTTCCGATGTGGAGATTGAAGACAACTGTTGAAATGTTTACTGTTTTATCTACACGTTGTTTCCGATGTGGAGATTGAAGACAACTGTTGAAAAGTTTACTGTTTTATCTACACGTTGTTTCCGATGTGGAGATTGAAGACAACTGTTGAAATGTTTACTGTTTTATCTACACATTGTTTCCAATGTGGAGATTGAAGACAACTGTTGAAACGTTTACTGTTTTAACTAGCTGTTGTTTTCCGGTGTGGAGATTGAATACCACTGTTGAAATGTTTACTGTTTTATCTACACATTGTTTCCGATGTGGAGATTGAAGACAACTGTTGAAATGTTTACTGTTTTATCTAGCTGTTGTTTCCGATGTGGAGATTGAATACAACTGTTGAAATGTTTACTGTTTTAACTAGCTGTTGTTTCCGATGTGGAGATTGAAGACAACTGTTGAAATGTTTACTGTTTTATCTACATGTTGTTTCCGATGTGGAGATTGAAGACAACTGTTGAAATGTTTACTGTTTTATCTACACGTTGTTTCCGATGTGGAAATTGAAGACAACTGTTGAAATGTTTACTGTTTTAACTAGCTGTTGTTTCCGATGTGGAGATTGAATACAACTGTTGAAATGTTTACTGTTTTAACTAGCTGTTGTTTCCGATGTGGAGATTGAATGCAACTGTTGAAATGTTTACTGTTATATCTAGCTGTTGTTTCCGATGTGGAGATTGAAGACAACTGTTGAAATGTTTACTGTTTTATCTAGCTGTTGTTTCCGATGTGGAGATTGAAGACAACTGTTGAAATGTTTACTGTTTTATCTAGCTGTTGTTTCAGATGTGGAGATTGAAGACAACTGTTGAAATGTTTACTGTTTTATCTAGCTGTTGTTTCAGATGTGGAGATTGAAGACTGTTGAAGCGTTTACTGTTTTATCTACACATTGTTTCCGATGTGGAGATTGAAGACAACTGTTGAAATGTTTACTGTTTTGTCTTGATATTATATTAGATATTGAGTTTGTAGAAAACTGTTTAAATGTTTACTGTTGTATCTTCATTTTGTATTGTTAGATGTTGAGATAGATGAACACTGTTAGAAATGTTTACTATTGTAACTTTATGTTGTGTTAGATGTTGAGATAGATGAACACTGTTAGAAATGTTTACTATTGTAACTTTATGTTGTGTTAGATGTTGAGATAGATGAACACTGTTAGAAATGTTTACTATTGTAACTTTATGTTGTGTTAGATGTTGAGATAGATGAACACTGTTAGAAATGTTTACTATTGTAACTTTATGTTGTGTTAGATGTTGAGATAGATGAACACTGTTAGAAATGTTTACTATTGTAACTTTATGTTGTGTTAGATGTTGAGATAGATGAACACTGTTAGAAATGTTTACTATTGTAACTTTATGTTGTGTTAGATGTTGAGATAGATGAACACTGTTAGAAATGTTTACTATTGTAACTTTATGTTGGTTTAGATGTTAAGATAGATGATCACTGTTAGAAATGTTTACTATTGTAACTTTATGTTGTGTTAGATGTTGAGATAGATGAACACTGTTAGAAATGTTTACTATTGTAACTTTATGTTGTGTTAGGTATGAGACTGCAGAACACTATTTTATTTATAGACCAGGAACTTGAAGAAAAAGATGTAAAATTCTGGTTTTATTTAATGCATTTATTATTTATTTTTCAGAATGGCAGCATTTTGAAATTTTTTTATCTGATTCATCCACTTCCAATGTTGGCCCTTCATTAATGTTAGTGGGATGTAGTCCCTTGCATCCACCTGCTGCTTCATCTTTGGCAAAAGATTACATTCGATTTGACCTGGACAGTAATGGTAAGTTTTTGTGTGTTTGGTTTAATTAGTAAAACAATGGAACTAATTAACCCTTTCGCTGCTATGGACGTCTTTTCCCGTTTTCCCGTACGCTGCTACGCCTGTCTTTGGACATTATTTTTTTTCTTGACCCCTAGTGCTATGGACGTCCCAAGCCATTTTTGGACTTTCCTTACAAATTTCTGTGACCTCGTATTTAATTGGCTGAAGAGCAATATACATTAGCTATATTTAGATTAAACTGACCCATTTACATACGATAAAAGCGCTAGCACGTGCTTTTAGGTGTGTTTACTGCATTCTGCGTTATCCTGTTGCTTTGTTTACCGTGACAGCGTCGCCGGTGATCTGTATATTTTGTGCCCTGATATATATTTGTGCTTTTTGGATTATTATACACTTAGTACAAAATGGCAAGAAAACTTGTTAAAGGTGATAAAGAATTGATGGAGTTTCTGTCAAGGAATAAGAGCGAAGTTGACTTTGAAATGTGTACTTCTGACAGTAAACAAGAAGATTAGAGAAGGCCATCAGTATCGACTGCTGAAACCGGCCTGTCCAAAAAAAAGATGTTTGCCTGTCCGATGTCATCATCGGAATCAGAAAGCAGCGACACAAAAACGCCATCAAAATTGCAATAAATTGATCAGTTGTCTTGGTCAACCGATGATTTGATACCAGTAGTGCATAATTTTGATGACTGGCTGTATTTCTGCTACTGTAAATTCAAACAGTTCAGTCACTATAAATTCTCGTCTTTCCCGATGGACAGACACAGATTCGGACAAACTTTTATTTTGTTGCTGTCTGTCTGCAAATGCTAAGAGCAAAGAAACTCAAAACAGAGTACTTAAGCAAAGACTGCTTGCTAAAAACTCCCGTGAAATAATATCGAGGGACAGATTTTAACTATTTTTGAGAATCTCAAACATTTCTCATACAACAGTGCTCATGCAGGCGGCGATAGACTGTACACAATTAAACACATTATTGATAGTCTGCGCACATCATTCATTATCATCATTCACACAGCACAATGCTTCAAGCGGTAGTATAATGTAGTTGGTATCACGTCCGCCTTAGAATCGGAGGGTCGTGTGTTCAACCCCCAATTTATTTATTTTTTATTATTGTAAATTTTCCTTTCAGTTCCTGCTACTTTTCAGCAAGGGATGACTCAAGTATTGCGAGAGAAACTAAGGGGGACTGGTGGTGACCTTAAACGCACAATCCTATTTTTGACCCAGACGGGACTCAATGTGTAGCATGACTGATGTCGAATGCAGAAGAAGAAGAAAAAGAAGAAAATGCAATGGTTGGACATGTAATAAGATCAAACAACCTCCCAAAAATAACACTACAGGGCTCACTAGAGAGGAAGAGGCAGATCAAGAAAGATCTGGATACAGAGCTTGGCTGACTAGACAGATTTTAGGCATGCAACTATGTCGTCCATTGCTTCTAATGGGTTCTAATCGGACAGTCAACAGCAACTGGTGACCCAGTGACTGGCATAGTATGATGTGCTGAGATTATCCTATTGTTCCTGTGGTAGTTCCTTGTTGAATCTACCTGCCTCATGCATCAGTGCTCTTAAATTACACATTCTCAGGCATGTTGCTATTTTGCATGCATTTTTCTGTTTATAAAATTGACAGAGTGAAAATACTACTTGACAGAGTAAAAATACTACTTGACTGTGTGAAAATACTACTTGACTGTGTGAAAATACTACTTGACAGAGTGAAAATACTGCTTGACAGACTGAAAATTCTACTTGACAGACTGAAAAAACTACTTGACAGAGTGAAAATACTTGATTACAGTGAGTTTTAATTGAATGTATAATGAAAATGTTTATGTTGTATTTTCCACTTCAGAGATGATTTCTCTAGCAGGCCATAGACTAGGCATGGGTATCCACTATAATCCGGGACTTTGTGGGAAGCCAGACTTCAACCCAAAGGCAGAACAGCTTGTCTACTGTTATGTGACAGCAGACATGAAAATAATTTCAGGTCACATGATACTGCAGCCAGAAGGAGGACTTTATCCAGTGGTGATTCTTACCAATAAAGGTATACAGGACCATATTAGGCTTTGACTAATCAACAACTCATCTATGGTAGGCAGGTGTATGTGTGTGCGTGCTTGTGTGTTAGTGGGAAATAGAGAGAGAGAGAATAGAAATAAAAATTAGGAATAATAAATCATACAGTTTTTACAACAACAAAAAGAAGAGAAACATAGTCACTTCAATAGACTGGCAACAGCAGAAGAAGAGAATAATAAAGCCAAGAAAACTTTGGAGAGGAAACAGAAAACACTAGAGAAACTGGAATAGAATCAAACAAATTGAAATAGAAATCACTTATTACAGCTCTCTTTAAGAATGCTTTGGTGAAGTGATTATACCACACTTCAAATAGAGAACATGTGATGTGTGATTTTCATTTACTTAGTCAATCTCAGGTATTGGATAACATGTTGTTCTACTATTTATTTTTGGTCATGGCATATCAAATAAATCAGGCGTCCAGTTTGTCCACTTGGTGTTTATCCTCTATAATAGTAATAACAAAAGTAATGCACACATAATGTTACATAGTAGCTAGCTACCTATTTGCCTGCTTTGAAATCTGGCATGTAAAGAATCAGTACGGTTTTTTTCAGCTTCAAGAGTTACAGTTGATGTGGAATCAAACTGCCAGCCTGTTGACTTAAAACAGCTTTTAGATATTTCCTTTCAGAGGGAACTGATTAAAGCAAACAAAGAGATGCTCGCTTCCCTCAGAAAAACAGGTAAATTTTATTAGAAAACTAGCTGTACCCGGCCACGCATTGCTGTGCCATAGTTTGGCTAAATGGAAAAGACAGAAAATAGAAATCGCACGTGTCTGATATGGTTACTGTCGCAATCATTGTCTGCTTAGGTACAGAGATAGTCTTCGATCCCCCAACCCCACTACCACCAAACTACTCTCTCCCTCATCAAAGGTTTTTGGAAAAGAAAGACAATAGAAATCGCATGTATCTAATATAGTTAATGTCTGCACAGATATAGAGATAGTTTGGTTTTCCGACTTTAGAACACGCACCATATAATTGTGTCTTTATATTAGGGGTCGTTTAAATGATGTTATTAGCACAGTAACAAAAATTGTTATTTGGTTATCACATGCTAAAGCTGTGTGTATTTTTAAAGGAGACGGAAGTAAAGCTACTACTGTACTTGTAAAAAACAAAGTAAGTCGTAAAAAAATTAGAATAGCGGAGGTAGCGTTGGTAAAATATGAACAAATTAAGTAATAAGAACTTTAAAATCATACATACATACGTATGGACGAACCAACACAGAGAACAAAAACAGACACACTAACAGGCACACCTACAGACAAGCACCCAGACACCATACACACAGACACACTCACTGACACACAGATACGTACACACAAACGTATACAGTTACCCATGCATACACAGAATCATACATACACAAAACGCCTACACACGCCTGCATGTCACACATATCCGCATACAAACATATCATACGCACTGCAATTTTTTGCATATCTTTGGTGGTTCTCCAACTGTTGCTGGCATTTGTTACAAATGAAATAAAGTTTGTATTGAAGATCTGTAGTTTGGTCTTGGAGCTCCATATTTTGTTAAGGCTTCTAAAAGATTTAGTTTTGCCAAACTGTGAAACTGTTGTTTCAGTTTCCTTGTATTAGTTAGCCCCCAAGAGGCATATTTCTTGCTTTTGGCACTGTTTGCGGCTGTATGATGTTTAGACAGACCACATATGATTATATTTACGAAACAAAAAATATGACCAACTGAGGAAATGGAATGTGCTGATCCTGACTACTGTACTGTGATGGAATTACATTTGTCATGTTACATTTGTCATGTTACATTTGTCATGTTACATTTGTCATGTTACATTTGTCATGTTACATTTGTCATGTGGTATGACTGGGCTCAGTGAGATTTCATAAAAATCATAAACAATATGAATGTTATCAGTGTTATCAGTCACAAGAAGTCCACAGGTTATCAGTGATCATACACTTTGTACAAAACTGAAGTATACGTACATACAATAATCTGTATCCATTCAGAACAGTAGAGTACCTAGTGTAATAGTGTACAGAGGCCTAATTGTAACCTTCTTTTTATGATTACAAGCTATGTTAAACAAGATAATATTCCCTCACCTTACCTCTTCATTCTTGTGATGGATGATGTCAAGACCTGTAAGGAAAAGACAAAGAAGTGCTGAGTAGGTACTGGAAGATGAGACCAGTCAGAGCTGGAATTTGCAAGATTATGTGGCCCTGATAGTTAAATCATAGGCACCTTCAAACCAACTTATTAGTCTGGAAGGAAGAGCTTGAGAAGAGAGGGATGACCATCAATATCTCCAAAACTAAAACCATGGTGATCTCAAGAGAGGAGAAGAAACACCAGATCATGATGGGACAATATGTATTGGAGCAGGTCAACAAGTTCAAGTACCTTGGAGTTGTAATAGACAGAAACGGAGGTGTTATGACCTGAGCTGGCTACACGAAAAGTAGCTGCTGGGAGACTCTTCCAAGCCATAATCGGAGGGTTTCTTAGCTCACAAAAATTGGCAAGAGGATGAAAATGGCTGTTTACCACTCTACCTATGTGTCAGTCCTGACCTATGGGTGTGAGTTGTGGGCAATGACATCAGCCATAAGCCAGCTTCAAGCTTCAGAAATTAGATATCTGAGAAAGGTGATCCAAGTGACAAGAAAGGACAAAGTCCGCAATCAGACAATACAAAAAATCTTGAAACCCAGGCCTTACAAACCTGAGTGGATCAGTCACAGTTACAATGGTTTGAACCAGGGAACCAGACTTCCAGGGCGACCCAGGGTCTGCTGGGAAGACAACATCTGACAGAGGACTGGAATAGAACAAAGCCAGAAAGAAAATTGCTGATAGAGAAGTCTGGCGATCTCTCTGGCAAATCTCTACACCCCAAGGTAGAAGAGGAGCAACTAAGTAAGTGAGTAAGGATGAATATACTAATTACTGTCAGTTAACTTGGTATTTTTCACTTGGTTACCATGACAACTAATACCTTTGGCTACTTATCTGTGGTATTTTATCTTAAAGCTCCAACTAGATCTTAATTCCTAGCCAGAACTTTCACTTCCTTTTACCTCACATGTTGAACAGAGGTCAAAGAGTTCATGCTGCGCAAGAGCAAGCATGTAGAGGTGACAGTCCTTCCTGAGTACTGCAGACTACATCTGTCACATGACAGGTTGGGAACACATGTGGTCCAGTTTCGAAATCCATTAGTAGAAGGCAGCAGTTACTTTCTTGTGTGCATCAGATCTCTTTGTAAGTATGCTGTTGTCAGTTCTCAGCAATTTTGTTTATTAAATCCATATGTGTGTGTGTGTTGTGTGTTTGTGTGTGTGTGTGAGAGAGAGAGAGAGAGAGAGAGAGAGAGAGAGAGAGAGAGAGAGAGAGAGAGAGAGAGAGAGAGAGAGAGAATATATTCAAGGATTTTAAAGATGAATTCATTAGGCAATAGCTATACTGTAGTTTCTGTCAGTTCTATAGTATACTGTGGTTTCAGTCAGTTCTATAGTGTGCTGTAGTTCAGTCAGTTCTATAGTGTGCTGTAGTTTCAGTCAGTTCTATACTGTGCTGTGGTTCCAGTCAGTTCTATACTGTGCTGTGGTTTCAGTCAGTTCTATAGTGTGCTGTGGTTCCAGTCAGCTCTACTTTTTTTTTTTTTGAACCTATAACTCTGCAATTCAGAATTTGACAGTGCCTAGATCCATAATTCAAATTCAAAATGTTACTTTGCCTTTCATCGTCATCAAAAAATCTAAAGTTCAAGTAACAGTAGCCTGTTTGTTCTTTAGTTTTGTCAGACAAGGAATGGTTTTTTTCTCTCCTTCTGACTGTTGGCTGTCAGCTTTTGCTTGACTGTTTCACTCAGAAAGCCTTGAACCTAGATATTACTGAAACAAATCATTTAAAAACAATTACCACCATTTCAAACAATAGTTTTTATGTACCTTTTTTAAAATTTCAATAAATGTGAATGGGGTGGTTAATGAAATAGATGACATTACCTTGAGCCTAAACCAGTGCTGTTAGCTAGGGCTTGTTGCAGACAGGCCAGTGCCAGTTTGGCAGCTTTTACTCAGATTTCTAACAGATGTTGATGCCAGATTTGTGTCTTCTTGGAGTAAAAGGGTTCAGTTAACTATATTTTTTTTATTCAAAACACTTACTATGAGTTAATGACCTAGCCTTGTAAACTTTTGCCTATTTTCATGTATATCCAGATTTTTACAGTCTCTATTACCTTTCCTAATTGTTTATTCTTTACTCTTGTTTCACATAATTCAGTAGTATTTAGTGGAATCAAAGACTAAGGGGAGGACATGCATACACACTGTTGAAAGCTGCAGCTAGAACATGTCAGGCAGCAAATAAACTTGAAAACCTCTTGCACTACAACAACAGAATTAATAAGGCTATAACTGGGAGTGGTCACATTTAGCTAGATCTCTCTTTGCAGAAGACTTAGCCACCTGTCAAGAGTGTGTCACACAAAGCACAAACTCCACAGCTGTAAGTGATGATCCCCAAGAAATGTGCACTCATGAACCAAATACTGCAGCTGTGAAACAAACAGATGACCTTCAGAGTGTGTGGCAAATAGCTGACCACTTCTTCATAGAGACCATTCTAGAAACCTGCTTTCTCGGTCAGAAACATAATAATATCGAACATTAATTATTTAATTGCAAGAAACTGGTGCAGTGGTTTTGGTCACAGGTGTGAGGCAATGTTAAGGCTGTTGTGTTGTACATAAGGAGATCCTCAGTACCCAACCTTAGGCACTGGTAGGCTCTGTGGTGGTTTTACAGATCTTCATGTAAGATTCCTGCAACATGTCCTTGTCTTGCACTATGGATAATGGCCTATATCGCCTACACTGATCTGACAGGGGATCTCAAGAGTTGGTGGCTCTCAAAGATGCAATGCCCAGGTTTGAGGTTTTGAACAACGGATCAACATCATAGCACAAGGATAGTAACCCATAAGTGCTCCGTTCTACTTCTAACTCAAGCCTGAGTCTGAAGAATCTCAGCGCAGTGCACAAAATTTATTGCAATGCCCAGAATTCCTCTACCACTCATCAGCTGACCTCTGTACATGGGTGATAATTTATATGGAAAGCTCATTTGGAACATAGGTGAAGTCCACTGGTCAAGTACCATGTTAAATGATAAACTCAGTTTCAAATGTCTATTGCCTGAAAGAAATTTCTTTTGCCATTTAATTGAATGGCGTTTCTTTTTATTTAAATCATCATCAAGCTGTTTTATTTCATTATTTCGACATTTTATTTATTATTAATTTATAAGACAATACACACACATGGGGAGTTGACGTGGTGTAGCGGCTAGACGCTCGCGTGTGGATCGGAAGGTTGTGGGTTCGCTCGCTTGGCAGAGCCAGACTTTTTAAAAATATGACCTTGACTCCGAGGGCAACCCAGCCTTGAGTTGGTACCGGCGGCAGTCCCAGCAAGTAAAGGCGGCCGGCATGATGATGACCACATCACCCATTTTGTGCCGATTGGTCTATAAAAATATAGGTTTAGTATCTGCTATTCTCTCTATCTCTCTGATGGGGATGGTTTTCATGGCTCCGAGAACAATCCTTAATTCCATATTCTGAACCTTGTCCAGTTTTCCCATTGTTGTCTTGGCTGCTGCAGCCCATGCAGTGGAGGCAAATTCCATGACTCGCCTGACTGCTCCAGTATATACTTGTTTTAGAATTCTGGAGTTAGCGCCCCATGTGGTACCCGCTAATTTTTTCATAACTGCAAGCTTCTTGAATGCTTTTCCCTGTACTGCTTCTACATGTGACTTCCAAGTTAGTCGCGAATCAAGTGTAACGCCAAGAAAGGTAAGAGTGTCAGTCTGTGGAATGAGCTAATTTTTTATCCAAATTTCGATTCTTTTCTTTTTTGGTGAGAGAGAGAGAGAAAAGTGATGCTGTGCCCTATATGCCTAAAGGCATGGAAAAGGGACCTTTACTTTTATACACACACATATGTATTAGAACATTTACATTGGCTGAAATATAGACAGTGCTAAACCTAGTTTGCTTTTGTGTCATTTGTTCCTAAGGTAAAGAATCAACTGTTGGAGTAGGAGTAGCTGGGCGAGACTTTCCTTTGAATGAATTTCCTGGTAAACTAACTCCTTCAGTTGGCTGGATATCGCAAGATGGAAAACTGTACAGGAACTCAAGATGTGATGGCAATTTGTCTGGAGACAAATACCGTGAAGGTAAGAATTAATCTGTATGTATCAGATAACAATATTGAAAACAAATATTCATGCCTCTATTAAGAACTGAACCCAGACCACTGCCTTGGCAGGCAAGCACACTATAGTGAGCAATCTAAATTAGGTCAAGGACCTATTTCCATGTTTTTAGGCATGTTGGGCATATGGGGCTAGACCTGTAGTTTATGGACTAATCAGTACTTGGTGAGTGATTTGGTCAGATCACCCTGGCCACCCTTACTTTCCAGGAATTTACCTGGTACCATTTAAGGCTGGGTTGACGTGGGAGCCAAGGTCATGTTTTTTTTTTAAATCTGGCTCCCGACAGGAGCCAAACCTATGACCTTCTGATCTACAGGTGAGAGTCTAGCCGCTACACAATGATTGCTACCTTAAAATATATTTTAAAAAAACAAAGTAATGGCCAGTTTTACTGGCTAACGTTCAGAAATAAATCATTGAGACTTGTAAAACAAAACAAAATTAATTGGGGAAAAACCTTGAACACCTTTCTAAATAAATTATGCCTGTTTGCGTGAATTTATTCTTTCTATTCTTAGCGTTTAGCCGCTGTATACTTGGGCAAAAAGTTCTGTTTTTTCATCCATTTTTGGACTTTAGTCTTGTTCCAGAACTTGAGGTTTGCATGCATATCTGTTTTACAGATCGGGTTTATTTACTGTTGGTTCCTTGTCTCTCAGGCAGATCTACTCTGACTTCAAAGGAAACAGCCCTAATTTGTTGGCCATTACAACATGCTTGTAAAAGGATCTGTGAGTCTGTTCTTGTTTCCACCACAATGAGGCTCTGGGTGAATTCTCTTTACAGTGGGGATAATTTTGTTCTTGAGGAAGCACAGCACATGCAGAAAGTGTTGAATTTAGCAAATAAGTTATTAAGGTTTTTATTATGTGCGTAATTAGCAACTGATGTATTACATTTTGTTACTGTATTTAGCAACTGGGTTATTATATTGTTTTTTATTTTACTAAGTTTATTGCTATTTATATTTAGCTACTGGGTTATCATGTTGTTATTAATTTAACGAAGTTTCTAACTATTTATATTTAGCAGCTGAATTATTATGTTGTTATTTATTTAACTGAGTTTATTGCTATTTATATTTAGTAACTGAGTTATTATGCTGTTATCTAATGACTGTAACAACCAGTAGTTGAACATCTCTTTTTCAGGTGATATGGTAACGGTGCAGATGGTAACCTTTGCCAAAAACATGTCAGTTGCCTTGTTTACAAAAAACCTGCACCCAGTGGGCACAGTTTATTACACCCAGTCTAACAGAGCGGACTTTCTCCCAACAATAGCCTTATGTTCTAATGGTTCTAGTGTCGTCATAGATGTCTTCTGGCAGAATGTGGTACAGGCAGCACCAGCTTTCAGTGTAGTAGGTAACTTTTCTAAGCAGTCCCATATCTATACTGAGAACTGACAAATGGAAACCTTTCTGTACTGACAGTTGTAGAATAATAATTGTGTAGATGAAAATGTGAACTCATTTTTTACCGAGTAATTTACCTCACAGTGGTAAATTCTTCTTCTACTTCTGCTGTTGATCCCCCAATGGAGTATAGGCTCCCAACTAAAACCAAATTGTCCTGTTTTCCTATCATTGGTAGCTCATTCCTTGTCGTCCCCATTTTGTTTTTTCACTTCACTCTCCAGTTCTCTTATCCATATATTTTATGATCTGCCTTTATTCCTCTAACCCCATTTTGTTTTTTCACTTCACTCTCCAGTTCTCTTATCCATATATTTTATGATCTGCCTTTATTCCTCTAACCCCATTTTGTTTTTTCACTTCACTCTCCAGTTCTCTTATCCATATATTTTATGATCTGCCTTTATTCCTCTAACCCCATTTTTGTTTTTTCACTTCACTCTCCAGTTCTCTTATCCATATATTTTATGATCTGCCTTTATTCCTCTAACCCCATTTTGTTTTTTCACTTCACTCTCCAGTTCTCTTATCCATATATTTTATGATCTGCCTTTATTCCTCTAACCCCATTTTGTTTTTTCACTTCACTCTCCAGTTCTCTTATCCATATATTTTATGATCTGCCTTTATTCCTCTAACCTCATTTGACCCTTCAAGGATATTCTAGTTACTGTATTTACATGTGTATAGGTTGCAGTATTTTGACCAAAATGTGTTGATGCAAAATATAGTTTGGCTTATATTCAAGACATCAGGACTACATATCACTTGAACAAAATTTATTGATAAACAGGAGTACCAGCTGGATTTCAAATTGCCCCCATGCTGTAGTTGTGTCTTCTTTAACTTCAATAAATGTCATTGAAACCAAACAGTTTCTCTTGGTTGGTGTGGGGAAGTCACTGCGCCATTGTTGTCCACAGCTAAATCATGAGGTCAGTGCGTGTTGTAAAGCACTTTTCCCAGCCATAAGTGGGTTTAAATTGCTTGCACAAGATGCACTACTTGCAGCTTACATTTACAGATGTAACTTTGCTGTTATGAACTCATCCTTCACTGCTTACAGGTACTACTGTTTCGGTTTTGGTCTCTCAGTGAAATCTAAGAAAATTATTTTTTCATAAAATTATCATCTCAGAAACTGAGTGTGGCCTATACACATGCAAATACAGGTTTTTACAATATTTGTCCTATACAACACCAGCTGATTCACTTGAATTTGTTTAGTTCTCCCCTAGAGCTCCACGTTAGTAATTCTGTTATAGAATTTCATTTCTTGCCTTCAGCACAGGCAAAGTGTTCAGCTATTGGTTATCTAACCTTGATACATGCAGTCTGTCTGATTCCTTCAGCTTAAGTCAGTTACTTACTTGTAACTGCTCTCTACTAGTTGTTGTTTTCATTATCATTATCCTTGATCTTTCTTTAACCATGTCACACTGAGGAAGTCATTTTATGAGGTTTTGATGACATTTTTTCTTCTTCTGCGTTCGACATCAGTCATACTAAACATTGAGTCCCGTCTGAGTCATAAATAGGATTGTGCGTTTAAGGTCGCCACCGGTCCCCCATAGCTTCTCTTGCAGTGAAGCTCTCTTGGGCCAGATCCACAATCTTTGCTGGGAGAGGTAAGGGCAGTACTGTAGTATGTGCTCAGGGTCTGTCTTTCTGCTCCACAATCACAGGCAGCAGATTCTTTTATGCCTATCTTGTACATGTGTGCTCGAAGACCACAGTGTCCAGTCCGAAGTCTAAAAATTGATGTTTGTTCTTTCCTGTTGAGTTTGTTTATGCTGTCACTCTCTGTTCTGTAATCTCCATTCTGCCTTCTCCACTCCTGCTTGAAAGACTGCTTTAGCGCTGTTTTGGTTTCCTTGTAGCTGTGTGGTGGATGAGGTTGTGGAAGATTACTCCCAGCTTTTGCCAACTCATTTGCTCTCTCATTTCCTTGAATACCACAGTGGGCTGGTATCTACTGCAAGACCAGTTCTGCTTCCTTGGAGAGTAAGCCAATGTTGGTTCTTAGATCTGCAATTAGTTTGTCTTGTTTTTTGCTTGATAGTGCTTGGAGAACAGACAATGAGTCACTAAGTATAACAATTTGCTCTGTAGCAGTGCCGTCGGTAAAAACCTGAGTCCAAGTGGTGTTTGGATACTTCTCATCAAGCATAGCAAGAGCCAGGGTTCTCTGTTGTGTCTCCGTCTGGGCAACCTTTGAAGTGATCCCTGGTACCTTTAGGACTACATTTGCCTTCTCTGGCTTGCTTGTCCATGGTTCTGGCCCAGGTTTTTCGCACAGTGCAACATCTCTTTCAAGCAGATCTTGGTGCTGTCTGTACAGTTCTCTAGCAAGGTGGTTGGGGCTCTGACGCTTCAGTCTGTTTTTTGTTCTCTCTTGAAATTTAAAATGCAGTGGGTGACTTTGAAGTCTTTTTAATTTCTCTTACTGTAAAAGAGTTTTGTATTGTCTTCTGAGTTCAAGTGGTTCAGTATCTGCTATTCTGTCTGATGAGGGTGGTTTTCATGGCTCCGAGAACAATCCTTAATCCCATATTCTGAACCTTGTCCAGTTTTCCCATTGTTGTCTTGGCTGCTGCAGCCCATGCAGTGGAGGCATATTCCATGACCGGCCTGACTGCTCCAGTATATACTTGTTTTAGAATTCTGGAGTTAGCGCCCCATGTGGTACCCGCTAATTTTTTCATCACTGCAAGCTTCTTGAATGCTTTCCCCTGTACTGCTTCTACATGTGACTTCCAAGTTAGTCACGAATCAAGTGTAACGCCAAGAAAGGTAAGAGTGTCAGTCTATGGAATGAGCTGGTTTTTTATCCAAATTTGGATTTTTTTCTTTTTTGGGGGAGAGAGAGAAAAGGGTTGCTGTGCTTTTTTGAATTATTTAGCTTTAGACCCCATTTTTCAGTACAAGCTTCTACATTTTCCAGTTTTCTGTAACAGATATGAGGCTGTGGTAGTGTATTCGGAGGCTGTCCAAACTGCAAAGTCATCGGCATGCAGGGTATTAGAAACGTGCTGGTGGCAGGTTGCTGTGATATCATTTATGTAAACCAGGAACAGAGTTGGTGCTATCGCACTGCCCTGTCTCTTAGTTTTGCCAGTTTGCCGATGTGTCCATCAATTCCGAATCTGGCTGTGTGTTGGAAAAGAAAGTCTTTGATCCACTTGTAAATGTTGTGCACAACTCCTGCCTGTAGTAGTTTTAGTTGTAGGCCTTTTTTCCAAACTGTATCAAAAGCACGAGAGAGGTCAAAGAAGACAGCAAGAACTTTCTTTTTTTTCCTGGAAGGCATTCTCTATTTCCTGTGCCAGATATGTCAACTGGTCCTCTGTGTTTCTGTGTTGTCTGTATCCCGTCTGTGTGGTGGTGATTAACGAGTTTGTCTCCAAGAACCACATTAGTCTTTTATTTACTAATTTCTCCATCAATTTTCCTACACAACTAAGAAGGCTGATGGGTCTGTAGCTTTTTGGGTCTCTTCTGTCTCCACCCTTTTTAAGGATAGGCTGGATGAGAGCTTCCTTTCAGGCTGACGGTACTACACCTTTTTGCCAGCTCTGGTTGTAAATGCAGAGAAGAAACTTCTTGGCAGCAGGTCAAAGATGAGAGGGAAATTCGTTTGTAATACCTTGCCAGTAACAGCTCCATCGTCTGTTTGGAGTACAACTCTGGCTTTTTCTGTCTTGTCTTCATTCAGGCTTTTTGTGAGATTCCACAGTTGTGAAGTGTCCTTCTCGAGGTTAAATGATGCCGTCTTTTTGTGCCAGCTTTCCCTCATCTGATTATTTCTCTCTTTGATGAAGGCCGCTTTTGCTCTGTTATGAAGTATTACATTTTTATCTGTCGGATCCTTCTCCATATTTTCCCTCCTGGTACTAAGTTTGGAATGCAAAGTGCCCTGTTCAGGTGACCAGTAAAGTTTAAAGTTTTTCCTGCTGCCTGGTGGTACGTTATTGATGACATGAAATCGGTGAGAAATGGCTGCTACATCGATATTACAGCTTCAGTACTGGTTGCAACTGCATAATGTGTAGATATGGTGGGTATGGCTATATTTGCAACAACAAAAATTATATATTATTAACGGTGGAAAAATAGTTATTTTTAACATTATGATGTCATTGCAATCATGAAATCTTGCTCATGATAGGAAGGTTTTCCGGAGGGTTGTTATGGCAGCGAGGTTCCGCGAGGGACATGCTACTGAATGAATGAATGATGTCATTGCGACAATCTCCTAATGATGCCACTTTGATTATTATGGACATCTCAACAAAACCCCTGTTTTTAATGGCAAAGTTTGTAGAAAGCAGTTAATTCTTGACAGTTTGGACTTAGTGATTACGTGCCTTTACACACACACACAAATCTACTTTGTAGCCTTCACTTTTACCTGTCTGCTCTTGGTATAGAAACTTGAACCCCTGCACTTTTATAAAAGTTGACAAGACTCCAGATTTCTTCTGCTTTTTTCTTTTCTTCCATTATATTTATAGAAAACAAAAATAAATTTGGAAAGGGATAATTTTAAAAAAAATTTTGTAATGATCCAAACTTTACTGTCATGATAGACGTTTTAAAGCAGGAAGATAAACATCTGCTTAGCAAAAGAAACAGAACTGGAAGGAAATAGTTAAAGCAATCAGTGTCTGAGACAGAAATAGTTAAAGCACTCAGTGTCTGAGACAGAAATAGTCAAAGCACTCAGTGTCTGAGACAGAAATAGTTAAAGCACTCAGTGTCTGAGACAGAAATAGTTAAAGCACTCAATGTCTGAGACAGAAATAGTTAAAGCACTCAGTGTCTGAGACAGAAATAGTTAAAGCACTCAGTGTCTGAGACAGAAATAGTTAAAGCACTCAGTGTCTGAGACAGAAATAGTTAAAGCACTCAGTGTCTGAGACAGAAATAGTTAAAGCAATCAGTGTCTGAGACAGAAATAGTTAAAGCAATCAGTGTCTGAGACAGAAATAGTTAAAGCACTCAGTGTTTGAGACAGAAATAGTTAAAGCAGTCAGTATCTGAAACAGAAATAGTTAAAGCACTCAGTGTCTGAGACAGAAATAGTTAAAGCACTCAGTGTCTGAGACAGAAATAGTTAAAGCACTCAGTGTCTGAGACAGAAATAGTTAAAGCACTCAGTGTCTGAGACAGAAATAGTTAAAGCAATCAGTGTCTGAGACAGAAATAGTTAAAGCACTCAGTGCCTGAGACAGAAATAGTTAAAGCACTCAGTGTCTGAGATAGAAATAGTTAAAGCAATCAGTGTCTGAGACAGAAATAGTTAAAGCAATCAGTGTCTGAGACAGAAATAGTTAAAGCACTCAGTGTTTGAGACAGAAATAGTTAAAGCAATCATGGTCTGAGACAGAAATAGTTAAAGCACTCAGTGTCTGAGACAGAAATAGTTAAAGCACTCAGTGTTTGAGACAGAAATAGTTAAAGCACTCAGTGTCTGAGACAGAAATAGTTAAAGCACTCAGTGTCTGAGACAGAAATAGTTAAAGCAATCAGTGTCTGAGACAGAAATAGTTAAAGCAATCAGTGTCTGAGACAGAAATAGTTAAAGCACTCAGTGTTTGAGACAGAAATAGTTAAAGCAACTCAGTGTCTGAGACAGAAATAGTTAAAGCACTCAGTGTCTATGACAGAAATAGTTAAAGCAATCAGTGTCTGAGACAGAAATAGTTAAAGCACTCAGTGTCTGAGACAGAAATAGTTAAAGCAATCAGTGTCTGAGACAGAAATAATTAAAGCAATCAGTGTCTGAGACAGAAATAGTTAAAGCAATCAGTGTCTGAGACAGAAATAGTTAAAGCAATCAGTATCTGAGACAGAAATAGTTAAAGCAATCAGTGTCTGAGACATAAATAGTTAAAGCAATCAGTATCTGAGACAGAAATAGTTAAAGTAATCAGTATCTGAGACAGAAATAGTTAAAGCAATCAGTGTCTGAGACAGAAATAGTTAAAGCAATCAGTGTCTGAGTCAGAAATAGTTAAAGCACTCAGTGTCTAAGACAGAAATAGTTAAAGCAATTAGTGTCTGAGACAGAAATAGTTAAAGCACTCAGTGTCTGAGACAGAAATAGTTAAAGCAAAAAGTGTCTGAGACAGAAATAGTTAAAGCAATCAGTGTCTGAGACAGAAATAGTTAAAGCATTCAGTGTCTAAGACAGAAAAGGTTAAAGCAATCAGTATCTGAGACAGAAATAGTTAAAGCAATCAGTATCTGAGACAGAAATAGTTAAAGCAATCAGTGTCTGAGACAGAAATAGTTAAAGCAATCAGTGTCTGAGACAGAAATAGTTAAAGCAATCAGTATCTGAGACAGAAGTAGTTAAAGCAATCAGTGTCTGAGACAGAAATAGTTACAGTTATCAGTGTCTGAGACAGAAATAGTTAAAGCAATCAGTGTTTGTGACATACATAATAGTAACAGTAATCAGAGTCTGAGACATAAATAGTAAAAGTGTTCCTTTTGAAGAAAACCGATGAGATCCAATTAATAAGGAATGGGCTGAGACCAAGATCAAAAAGCTGATCAATCAAGAAGTAAAATGGTACCTTGTTGTATGTTTCCTCAAGATCAACTGCAGCAGCACAAGTTTCTATCACTAAGTGGAGTCCCTCACAAACATCAAATGCAAAGATCACTGCATTCCTCCAGGACTCTCTGGCGATATCCTCACAGGGTGGGTGGAAGGAGGCCTAACTGCTCAAGATGGCATGATATTTTTTTTTGCAACAATTTTTTCCAACAGCTTGATAGCTATATTCTCCATTGTGTTTACATGGTAGCCCTGTATTGTCGTGTGGTCTTTAACACGCTTCAGCAAAGGTATCAGATAATTATTCAGCAACTCTTCATCGACTGTCGCACTTTCAATACTGCTGTTGTAGATACTCGCCAGTTCCTCCAACTTGTTATCAGACAGCTGTGAAATATCTCCATAGCGGATGTCATCTGGACCAGGTATACTGTCTTTTGCCTGCCTTAACACAGCCCTGATTTCATCAGTGCCCCAATTATAACTTCTTTGTAGGTTGAATGGGGTATCTGATATTTTCTCAGTTAGTTTACCATTCTTTTTCTTCTTCTTTCTTCTTTGTTCACCAGTTGTAAGTTCTGGCGGAAAGTCCTGGTTGTTCGTCCATTTGGACTTTGAGCCTGAGTTTTGCATGTACATCCGTTTTACTGGCTTATTTGTGTGAAGTTGATTGTTCCGTTCGCTTGAGCAGATGCACTCCGACTTCGAAGGAAATTCCCAGTTAGTCAACTTCTTCAAAATGCTTGCTGGGAAAGCAGTCAAACTATTCTTGTTGTCCCCACAATGGGGCCCCAGAACCCACACATGGTAGTTTGCCATTCAGAATAAGATCGCAGGGGTGAGTCAAATCTGCAGGTAACAACTCAGAAAAGGAGAGTGGGGTGGGAACAGAGTGTTACATGTGGAAACAGTTTAGTGTCATATCATTATTAATTACATTCCATAACAGATCAATCTAGAACACTGGTGTCTTCCAGCTGGGTCAACAGTGGATCACAGAACCAACACTGTTTATGTCAAAGACCATCATGCACCTGTTGCCATACAAGCACCATATAGTCTTCACAAAGGTATTTCGTTAGTTTTAAACAAAGTGACTGTTTTGTATTCAGTGGTGTTTCAACTTTTTGTTTAAAGTCTTAGCTGCTTATTTCTTTCTAAGGTTCTATTATAGTATAATTAGTAAATATTTTAAGGATATGTCAACACAGTTTTTGGTGGGAGAGCTTAAGCCTTTTTTAAAATTGTAACTTCAATTTAATTTTTTTTTTCAACTCACTCATTTGATTTATTTCATTTTAGATGTAATTGAACTGTGCCTGTTTAGGGAATACTGTAACATTTGTGCTAAATACTTTTCTGTCATTGGTTGATGGTTTTCCAGTTTCAAAAACTGCCATTGGTCAGTTCGTGAAAACATCTTAATGTACAAGAAATCAAGTTGGAAAAAATATTTTAGTTAAACAGCAGACACAGCAGAGTTTATATAGTTTTATAATGTTCTTAAGTAATGATTATTATTATCACACACACAGGATATATGGACTCATGTATATTCACTTAACCTGGACTGAAATCTAATGGCCCACATTCTCAACCAGGTTTCAATCACTTTGAGGTGCGTCTCACTAAACACTTCAGCAGCCATTTCCTCCCGCCTGCAATTATCTTATCAACAGCAACACCATTGGAACCTCCTCCTAAATCCTGCCTCAAGTTGGACTATCTCAGGTTCTGGGCAGTTGATCAAAGTATGTACTGTCCTTTACAATGTCATTTAAAATGAGGAATGTAGTCTCAATTACAAGGTCCAACAATAAAGTAATGAGACTAATTCCATGAAAATTAAAATAATTACTAGCTGAAGATATAACCTGTATCTGATTCAAAGTAAGCCCCTTGTGCATTGATACAGCAAGTGGTATGATCTAACAAACACTTGAACGACCTCTGTAGTTCTTCTGTTGTTATGGCTCTTTGGATGTCATCAATATTGTTAAATCTTTGAGTCCCAAGGAACGCATCATACATTCATTGGTTCCTGCCTAGGGGCCCAGTGAACGCAAGATGCTCTCATTTTACTTCTCTCTTGACAACCCTTTGGGCCTCTAATGCTAAGCCCCCTGGGACTCAAAGAGTTAAAGAAGCGTACTTTCAATCGTAACTTTAATTTTGGGAATACAAAATAATCACAGGGATACAAATCTGAGGGAAAGGGTGGAAGGCTGAGAACACACATTTCTTTTTTTGGACATCAATTCTTATTTTGATGATGTCTCTTGAGTACTCAACCCGCTGATGTTTTTGGTCATCAGGCAACAAATGTGGTATAAACCGGCAAGCAACTTTTTTCTTGCCAAAATCTTACACTAAAATGTTATGCATGGTCTCTCTGTTAACACCAGATTTATCTGCATCATCCTCACAATAAAACAGTGATCTTCTTGTATACGTTCTCTGACCTTTGCAATCAGTTCATCATTACGAACAGAAATTTGGCGTCCAGATATAGGTACATTAGTAATCCTTTCCACACCACTTTTGAATCATTTGAAAATTTGTGCACAAGATAAACAATTATTCCCATAAGCTTGTTGCATCTGTAGATGGGTGGAATATTTGAGGCTGTCGGTACCAGCATCTTCAGAGCACAACCAAAGGCTCAGGATGCCTTTTCAAAGCCTGATGCTGAAAGGCAGAACTGAGTCTTAGGAAAATTTTGAAAAGTATTACATTTTTCAGTTACAAAATAAAATTGCTACAGTGTACTTTCTTTGGACATGTCAGGGGACCACTATGAACTGTTTGGTACAGAAAGAGTTGAAGAGCACAACTGCACTTAAATATGTTAAGAGAACATGACAATGCCAGAAAAATAATTGTAAGAAAAGTAAAGCAAGGGATGAAACAAGTCTAAGGCTGCTAAAATGTAGAATCAAATAGCACAGGTCAACACATATAGCTTCAAGAAGTGGCCAGACATGAACCTCTATATTTGCCAAGTGAGGCTCAGCTAAGAGTTGCCAGTTAGTTGTTAGAAAGTGACAAATTAATGAACTGGTTGTGTTTTTTTTTTTTTTGGGGGGGGGGGGGGGGGGGGGGGGCGGGAATTTGAAAATTATTATTATGATTTTTATTATTAAACATACATTAGCAATAATATATGATTGATGTTGTATTCTCCGTCCAACTACAAGCCAGCAGTCTGGTGCAGGTCGGTGACCTTGTGGGCTGGGGTTTGTTGTACATAGATGACTCTCTTGACCATGAGGAACAACTGGTCATCTGTTATCTGACAGTTAACCGCAAGATTCTGCTGGTCAGAGTCGTCTACCAACCTCCGGGAGGGTTCTACCCACTGGTTGTCTTACCTTCAGGATGTAAGTGCATGACCATATTCTTCTCGCTCTTTTGTGTGTGCATGTGTGTGTGCGTGGGTAACAAGTGAAACAGAAATCTTAGATGTAGGTGAAATCGAAGTAGTAAGCATCTTCACAGATTAGGGCAATGATTAATCAGCATTCATGCCCAGACAATGTCTTCCTTTACACACATGGGTCCGTGAGGTGCGGATCAAGATCGGCATGGGCATACACAGCACAAAGGATGGGGATAACAATAAGAGAGAAAAGCTGTTCTAACCAGACAACTACGTCAAGAATGAACATGGAGATAACCGCTGCTTCCAGAGCTCTCACATGGGTAGCAGAACAAGCAACCAAATATGCGGTAATTTTTTCAGACTTTATGAACATCGCTAGAAAATCGCTACAGAGAGTTTACGCTCCGAATGGGTTGAAAGCATTCTAAAGTCACGGTTTACCTGGATCTGCATAACTGAGGAGTTAAACTTGGTGAAGCATGTCTCTGTCATCTTCAAGGTAAATACATGAGATAATATTACCAACTCCACATAGGAACAATCAGCAGAGGTACCTTGAAGTGGCTGCTGCATCAGAGGACTGAGCATAGGGGTTCCCAGTGTGCAAAGACGTCGACTGAGATAACATACCTTTTTCACAAAATTTAGCTAGGTGCCATTTCTTATTATCTTAAGTAGTGGCCCTCACGCATGTGATTTTTACATTCGGTAGTTTGGTATTAAACCCTAAGGTGACTGTTGACGAGAGAGGCACAAGACTAATTCCACCCCAGAATGGAATGGAGGAATAGATTGCCAGCTCTTTGATGTATAATGGTCCAAGGATGGTGAAAATGCCTAGGAGGCATATATAATAAACAACCAAAAACATGTCAATTTTTTGTCTAATGCCATCATTTACTTATTTGTAAAAAGCCTTCTAACAATATCAGATCAGATTAGTTACCATCTACAAATCAGAAGTCAAGTGTCACTATTATACAGGCTTATTGTAATGTGTTCAGCCATTGTAACACTCGAACCCATATGCCAGCAGAGTTGTTCGGGTTTAAATATAAAGTAGAGTAAAAGTAAAGATCCCTTTTTACGCCCTAGGTGCTTCAGGCAAATAGGAAGAGCACCCATATTTTTACAGACCAGTCAGCACTAGGTGGGCAATGTGGTCAGCATTACCCTGGCCAGCTTTACTTGCCCAGGACAGCCATCCTGGTACTCATTTAAGGCTGGGTTTTGGTTTGAAAATGACCTGAGATATGTTCATACAAAATAAACCTACTGATTTGCTTCAGCTTCATAAAATAAGTCTGGTTTCATTGGGGAAGAAAGGCATTAAAAAAGGTAACAAATTAACCTAGTATGGGTGAAGCCCTATTGTCTACCAACTCAAGAGCTCCATCTGCTTTAAGATTAACTTCACCATTTAAATGCAACATGTAAACCCTTTAACTACACTCCCAACAAGCATATTGTTTTCCTTCCTCAGTAAATGAAGTGACCATGGAATTTAATGCTACCTACATCACACATAATCCAATCAGCAAGGAGGATGCAGACATCCTAGTCACCGAAGCTAAACAGTTCATGGAGAGAGAAGCAGCTGTTCTAAGAGCTGGAGGTGATCCTGTCTCAGAGCTCACAGGCATTGCTTTGTTCAGACCTCTTCCCCAGAAGGAAACCAAAAAGCAAGATGGCTTGCAGTCAGAATGTTTAAATCAGTTGGATAATACAATAACAGGCATCGCAGTTACGGAGAACAGACAGGCAAACATGATGGGGAAAATCGTTAAGGGCTCAGCATTTAAACAGTTAAAAAGGCCTTCGATCAGAATTTCACATGATCACAGGAGTTCAGTCAGCTGTGTGCTTGTGTAAATCACGAAAGCAAGGTTAATACACACATGATGCTGCTTTTCTCTTGTTAGGAGCAAGATGTCCTGAATGTTCATGTGATGCTGAAATAGTTTCACACTTTCGTTCCCAACAATTGCCTGTACCAAAATATTGTGTGTAAGCACACATCTTCCATTTAAACTAGACATACTTAAAAAAAAAAAACCTTGTTAGCTAATTACTAATTAGCACAGTAAATGCTGAATATAAGCTAACATACTCATTATTTGTTTCCATCTTGTGTAATGTCCCTCTTGGGCAACAGCTGCAAACCCTTCCGAGTGAAAGAATTACCTCTTTGAGCCCCATGGAATGCATCACGCGCTAATTTGTTACAACCAGGCGCCCCAATCGACACGTGACAAGTGAAGGTTTTTAATCTGCCACTGACCCATAATAAAACGCGGACTGCTCAATTTAAACTTTCTTTCTAGTTCTTTGTGTCTGATATCAGGCGCGTTCATTTAAACGTGTGGTTTGAAAGCCAAAAACATAGCAGAGATACTAAGTGTTTGTTTAAAAATAATATGGCCGCCAAGCAGTATTCTACATGCATGCCAACATGATTTACGGCTTTAGAAGCTAAAAACTTAAATAAAGTATGTTTTTTTTTAAAGATTTATTCAAAGTTAGATAGATAACGTTGTGAATTAGACATTTTTCAGTCACTAAATAGAGTCAAACTTTGAGGAGTGATGTATCTCATGTGTAGCTCACACGAAGAGTACAACAATAGCAAAGCCAGCTGGCACAATAGAATAATCATTAGTGAAAAGACGATTTTCTTTACTGTCAGTTCTAGTGCTATTCCCCTTATTATTTAGAAAAATAGTCACAAAATTGCACGCAAATTGAGTGTTTTATAAACATTGTTTTGTGTGAAGATATTTATTGTTTTGGGAGTCAGCTTTCTTTACCAAATAATGTTGCTCTGTTATAATGCTTCAAAAGATTCTCTGGAACAAAATCTAATGTATAGACTGGGTTTATATTTTACTTATACATTACTAAGTGGTTCATATTCATTTGTTATTCATTTTGGATATATTTTAACCAATTTACCTTGAGTGCCATGTTGGTAAATGGAAATTTGTTAATTTTATTTAACTACTAACACAATTATTTATTGTTACTGTATTCTAAAATTATTCCTCAACAATCCCTGGTCACTTTGATGTATAATATGTGTATGTTGTGCGGCAATTGAATTAGCATGGTCTGTTTTAATGTGTTACACTTGTGAAATTAAAAAAGTGCATTATCACCCCTTGGGCCTCAATGCTAAACCCCCTGAGTGTTAATTCCAGGTTTTGGCGAAATTTTACTGTTAGCACACATGCAAAGAAGATATTTTACATCTATAACCAGGACAAAATAGAAACGTATAGTCAAAGTTACTGTATACAGATGCTAGCCTTGTGTAACAAGGGCTTGAATATAGCATTAATTACTGTCCTGTCATTATCATCATCATCATGTGCCATGCTGGTAGGCAGTCGTATTTCATCACCTCACAAGATCACCAGAATCATGGACTAGTTCAATGTTTTAGTCTCACCCCATCCATCTGGTGAGGTCATCCAAGTATTTATCTGTTTGCCTTTTTCTTGCTTTCTTCCAGCAATCTTGCAGTTGTTACAAAGTTCTCAGATCCATTCCTTCTCATTATATGTCCCAAATCATTGACTGTCTACGACTAATTGTTTAAAGTTGACTACTTTTATCTGTCTCCATGAGGACTGCTTCATTTGCTTTTCTATCCTTCCATATTTTTGGCACTCTTCTCAGAAACCACACCTCGGCCATGATGAATGTTTGAAATGCTTATTGTCATTTCACACGCATATAACATCGGATCCCCTTGCACTTCTGGGTGTTCTTGATAGTCAAGTCCTGTGTACCTCATGTGTGTAGCATTTGTCAATATGTTGTCACATTAATTGGTGTTCTTGTTAGTCAAGTCCTGTGTACCTCATGGAAACTCCAGTAGTGACAGAATTGTTTTTTCTTTCCACTACAGTGCAGGGGTCACATGCAAACGATCTAGAAAGGAAAGTAGATGAAGTGGATTGGTCACTCCCTCCTTATAATGCTTTGACTTTCCCCATGCTATCTGCATGAAAACTTTATTGAGAACCCGCCTGGGGCAGATTTAACTTGTATGATCTTAGCTCCCAGGTGGACTCAAATGAAAATGGGTAGCAGGAAATATCCTGGAAAGTGCAAGCAGTCTGCATCATGTCGATCACATGACTTATTGGGGGCTGATGGTTAGGTTAGTTGCGTATCCTTTACAGAACCAACCCCAGCAGCCCCTGGCTGTTGTGTGATTTCTCTAGGCAAATTTATGCCCAGTTGTTCGCCATTGCTTTCTGGTTGCTCAGAGGGGGCTGATGAGTTTCTATAAAAATGAGTCTAGTATCATATGTCCCATGTTGAAAATGGTCCTTCACTTTACTTATTTGGCTTGAGGACATCTGTCCTTTACTTTACTTACTTGGCCTGAGGGCATAGATATTTGTCCTTCACCAGGGTTCATAGCCAAATTTACCAATCAATTTCAAGGCTTTTCAAGGTCTTTTTCAAGGTCTCCTTAGTTTTTTTCAAGGTTGTCTCGGTGTAATACTGAAACAAGATTTTTGCCTTGTTCAAGGGTGTACTGAGCACACAAGGTACTTCACTTGTGCCACATGTGTTAGTATACCAGCACAGATATCATCATCATGTAGCATTTCCTTTGTCCTGACAAAAAAACCTCGGTCTCTCACCAGCCCTCCCGCCTCATGTACTTTTTTATACTCTAGGAGTCACTTATATCCTGTGCTTGATATAGTGTTTGAAATTTTTTTTTAGGGCTTGGTGGTAGAGGGCAGCAAACTGAAGTCCTGTCTGTTCTAGACCTGGTACCTGAGAGGGTTAGGGGAGAGAGAGAGAGTCATGAAGAGAGAGGAAGACACATGCTGAGGTAGGCTGGGAGAGACAGTGTAAAGATAGACAGATGAAGGTAGAGAAAAGAAGGAAAAGAAGTCTGGGGAAGGAGGGAAAAATGAGAGGGAGGGATGGAGACATGATGAGGAAAAGTGGGGAAGGGACAGCGAAAGACAGAGAGGGAGACAAATACAGAAAGAGGGAATGCAGATACAGAGATGGGCAGATGAAAAGAGAAGGAAAAAGGGAACGAAACAGAGATATGGAAGGAGGAAAATATGACAAAGAGTTGAAAGAAGGGAGACAGAGGGAGAGAGAACGGACAGGGTGAGAAGCAGATGCAAGCAGAGAGAGATGTAGACATAAAGGAGAGAGAGACAAAGGGACAGCACAGAGAGGCAAGCAGACAGAGGGAGAGAACCAAAGAAAGAGAAAAAAGGCAGAACAGGAGAATGGGAGGGAGGTATACAAAGAGGAAGTGATGAAGGGAGGCAAACAGACATAAAGCAAGAGAGAGAGAGAGAGAGAGGTGGATAAGGAAGGCAGTGACAAACACAGATTAAGAGAGAGGGGCAGGAAGGGAGACAAGATACATCAAAGAAAAAAAACAGCCACCTACTCCCCCCCCCCCCACACAATTTCAAGTGTAGTGGGCACAACCACTAGGAAAAGAGTTATGGGGCAAAAAAATACGCAGATGAACCAGTAAAAAATGGGGGGGGGGGAGAGAATGAGAGAGGGGAGCGGGTAAGGACAACTAGAGAAAATGAAAAGACAGGTTGGAGAGGAGACAAAGAAGAGATGGGACAGGAGAAAGGGCAAGGAAAGGAAGAGAGGAAGAATGGAGAGAGAAAGGAGAATAGTAGAAGATCAAAGGAAAGAGAAGGGGTGAGAGAAGAAAGGTAAGACACGGTTGTGGGGGTGGGGGTGTAAGAACAATGAGTGCCAAAAATAGAATTAGGAAATCTCTAAGTGAGGCCACTTTTCCAGTTCCTACCCTCTCCCAATGTGAATGTGGCCGTGGTCCAAAAACAACAGTGCTAACCCCTACTGCCCCTTGCTTGTCATATCTGTGTGTGACAACAATAATTCAATTTCTGACACTTAAGGCTGGTGACCTGAGAGCCAAGGTCATTTTATGAAGAAAAAAAAAGTCCAGGGGATCCCAACCCACCACTGGTGGAAAATAGAGAAGTTTACCCACACACATAAATAGGTCAGACACATAAATAGGTCAGGGCAGCAGTGGACTGTTTTATTTCTGGTTTTCCAATTACAGAAAGGAGGGGAGAGAGGAGGTGGTGGTAAGTGGTGTAGAAGGCTGAGGTGGTAAGGGTGAGACAGAGGAGGTGAGAGAATAAAGTTTAAGAAAATAAAGTGGGAATGAGACAGGGAGAGAAAGAAGGGAGTAAGAAATAAGATGAGATATAGAAGGAAGAAGGTAGCAGGAAGGGGTGCACTCCCTCCCCTAGGTGTCATCAATGTGGGAGGAGAAAAAAAAAAAAGGGGGGGGGGGGTGTGACGGCAAATGTGTTTTTAAAAGTACACATATATTTAATGTGTGGGAGGGGGGAATGGTGGACATGAAATGTTCTGCACTAGGCAACACATAACCTTCTACACCAACTGAAGGTATGGAGAAAGAAAGAGAGAGAGGGAGAGTGGCAAATACAAAGAGAAAGAGAGAGAGGAAAGCAGTGACACAGACAGGCAGAGAGTGAGGAACAGGTAGGACAAAATGTGAGGGGGCGGGAAGGGAAATGGACAGAGATTAAGGCCGCTAGGAAAACAAACACATCAAAAGAAAATATCCACCATGTTCACACAGAATGCCCCCCCCCCCCCCCCCCCCAATACAACTTCCTGTGTACTTGAGTTGTTAGGAAGAGTTATGGAGCCGCACATTTACTAAACATTTAGACAAGAAATAAAATAGGAAAAAGGGGGAGGGGGACAGGAAATGAAAGAGTAAAAGGTAAGATAGAGAGAAAGAGAAGATGATGAAGATCAGAAGGGAGGGTTAGAGACAATGCAGGAGACGGGAAGGAAGGAGCAATAGGTAGAAGAGTGAAAGAGGGAGGGAAGAGAGAGAGAGAGGTGAGACAACAGAAGAGGGAATCTCGGGGAATTACAATACTGATCACCAAACACACTGTAAAGATAAATCCAGGCCAAAAATAGAACTGGGAAATCCAGCTGCAGTCACTTTGCTTAGCCCCAATGCCATCTCTAATTAATAGAGAAGGCCGTGCTTAGCCCCCACCACGGCGACTCTATAAATACAACTGAACCGAATCCACCATCTCCCAATGTAATCCTTTCTAGAAACCACGGCCATAAACGATTTTTACTGTTCATTCTGCCGGACTTGCTAGAAACAAAGGCACACACACACATGCGCGAGACGGAATCTGCTACTTCCCGCCCCATGCCACACCGCTGCTGTCTGCATGTATTCATGATCTGCAACACAGCCCGCCCTCCCCTGGCCTTTAACAAGCCATTTCGACTGAAAATAGCCAATAATCAGCTGCCCTCACACCTGAAACGACCATACAACGAAAGTAGCCAAAAACTAGCCAAATGGCCAAAAAAAGCCAAATGGCTCCCCCAAAATTGCCTGTGCTGAGAAACACAGGATTTCTGACGATTTCATTGCCGCTGTCAAAATTCACGGCTTTTCAAGGTCGGAATGTCTTTTATAAGCTAAAATTCACGGTTCAAGGTCAACGAAAAAAATCCCGGTAATTTCCCGATCCACTACGAACCCTGTAAACCATAAGTGCTCTGCCACCAGATAAAAATTGTCCGCCTGTGTCACCGTTCGCACGTAACTGTAGCTACAGCGACATTCCTCCATTTACCCCCAGAGTGTCAACTCTGGTACCCATATTCCAAGAGGCGCTGAGCTTCGAACACCGACCGCGGGTTGCAGCTCGATTTGAAAGCACCTTATCGACTTAGCTTATCATATGCTGTATATTAATCATGTCAAAAATCTTATGGCAGTCATTTTAAGTGCTACACAGTAAAAGGTAACCATTGTGTTAACAGTATGCATGCGAGAGACGGCAGCAGTCAAATAGTGGAAACAAATGCTGTGAATTTAACAGAACAATGAAACTGCTGAGTTTTAGCAGTGCACTGGATTCAGCACAACATAATGTCCAGCTTATCACCCACATGCAGTTTTTCAGACCTGATAAATCCAAAGCATTCTTTTTTATGTTGTGTGTGCAGCTCTTTTTACGAAACTATCACTTATCAACTTACTATGCTTAGCTTGTTACAGAAACACACCCAAAAAAGATTTAATTTACAAATGATTATAATCTACCTGCATGGTGAAGATTTAATCATTTATAAATTTTTATCATCAGTGATCTCTTAGTATAGAATGTAGCATTCATGTTACGAAAGCTCATTTGGTGCAAAGCATGAGAAAAAGTGTAACATTAAAATGTTTGTAAATATGGTACTGAACATTTTAATAGAAAATAAGAGACAATAGAAAAAAAAAAGATCTAATTTTTTTTTTAAAATTATCGGCTCACTACTGTCCAAAACTTTGCGTCACACATTATTTCAAGTGATGATCAGTGTTTACTTCAACTTCTTCTATAAACCCTTCAGGGCCAAAACAGGTCATGTACATATGTTTCAAGGATATACAATTATAGCAACAACAACAAAAAACTAACCACATTATAATCAGATATATTTCAGTATGTTTGCCCATTTGTAATCAGTATTTCAACCTGCAGCTATTAGACAAGTCTCCTAACATAGGTTACATTTCTGGCTGTTATTTTAATTTTTTGTTGGTCACAATTTGATTCCCATATTTTACAAGCCAGCAGTCTCCCACTCCACAAATGATACAAGAATAAAATGACTTAACAGTACAACAAACAAGATGTTATAGATCAGTGAGAAAACAGGTTTATTGATTTCACATTTATCTCTTTCCTCCAACACGTGGTGCTTTAGCCATCGGCTGCTTGGCTGTCTTGGGCTGTTTAGCTTGTTTGACAGGGGCAGGCTAAAAAAAAAAGCAAAATGACCAGTCATTGTAAAGTATAACAACCTGCGGATAAAACCTTACAGACACAGGAAAACCCTTGTAATTCTGATGTCTGAACCGTGTTATGTTGTACAGAAGTAAATTTATTGCTGTGATTTAAAATTTAGTGATATCAAGACTAACTTGAAAGAAACTGACTACCCACATCAGAAAGAGACACTCTTCATACTTTGGTCATGTGCTGAGGAGAACGTCACAGTAGGAAAGTTGGAGGGAAAGACATGCAGAGGAAGACTCAAGTTTAAAGATACATGGCATAGTATGTATCAAACCTGACAGGGAACGGGACAAGGTTGTGGATAGTAACGACTACCAATGCCACACAGCTTGGAAAGAATCAATCACAGGTAGACAATGTAGATAGCTGTGCCACACCAATTATCCAGATTTCTACACCAGCAATGCTCATTATCTATATGCCCTGAACTAAAATAAAATACTTCAAGCAGAAGTGTCCTCAGAAAACTTGGTGTGGTGTCTGTTTCTCACCATACAATGTCTGAGTGGTGCATGACAGAATTTCATCACTGGACAAACCAATATGTAAAAGTATAATGTACAAGTCAGTTACTGTACCTATACAAAATTAAGAAAAAAAATTTAGAAGGGTCAACACTAACAGATTTAACAATTTGTTACTGCAAAAAGGTTATGGAAAAAAGAATCAATCACACGTATACAATGCAGACATTTGTGTCACACCAATTATCCCGATTTCTACACTATTTTCTACACCAGCAATGCTCATAATCTATATGCCCTGAACTAAAAATAAAAATACTTCAAGCAGAAGTGTCCTCAGAAAACTTGGTGTGGTGTCTGTTTCTCACCATACAATGTCTGAGTGGTGCATGACAGAATTTCATCACTGGACAAACAAATGTGTTAGTACAATGTAAATCACCTGTGGGTACTGGTACCGAATTCAGATATTAGGGTAAAGATCCCACAAGACAAAATTGGATGACTGTTAAATGCATGACACTGAGCAAACAAAATAGCAATAACATGAATGCACAAAAATACAATATACAGACAAGTGTTTTATCTGATGTCATGTGACAGGGCAATATTTAAAACGTAAGTTCTTTACTATTACAGGACATTTCAAAATGAACCATAGAATTTTGGGGCTGTTTTTTTTAAAGGCAAAGTTAACATTCAGTAGTTTGCCACTGCTTTTTGAACAGGCAGCTTTCGGTACCACTGACGAAACCAACCAACGCAAAACAAATTGTCCATTTGGAATCTAATCCAGCACCCCGGGATTACAAAGTGCGTTCACACAATGCCACAAGCTAGACATTATTGAGCCTAAATAGAAAAAAACAGGCTGTGTTGCTGCCAAAAGCCTACTAGTAGATTAAATCAAAATGATAACTGAGGCCATCCACAGGTGTACTAAAACTATATACAGTGCAGGCCGCTTGAGATCTCAAATGTGAGAACATTTTTTTTATATTCTTTGATGATTTTTCTAGCTTGAACATTTATCTGGATAAGAGAAATTTCTAATAAAAACTATTTCTTTGGTCCCTACTGATAATCAGGTCTGCACTGTATTTTTAAAATCTCTTAAGATACAAAGATTAAATTCAAGCATAAATGTCCTCAGAATAAAATGGTGTGGTGTCTGTTTCTCACCATACAGCAAGTCTGAGTGGTGCATGACAGAATTTCATCACTGGACGAGAAAACGTACTGGAGTCAGGTTACTGTATATATCTTATCTGTAATCAATTTTTCTGTATTCAAACACACAAGTTTTCCAGACAAGATGAATTGGAGGCAACATCACATGTTCGTAATAGCCAGCAATGATAAATGTGAAAACTATTATATGGGAACACATCAAATGAGGCACAGCACACGGATATCTGTGGCCGAGGTTACAAAAGTGTGACTCCATACATCTCTTGTCACAAGTTCATACACACACACAGGTACTTAACCACTGAATCCTCTGTATGTTATCAATGAAGCAAAGATGCAAGTCTTACCTCTTTTATCACAGGATTTCAAAAACAAAAAATTACTTCCCTCACAATAAGATGCTGTTAAAGTGTAAGCAAGACTTAATTGTCAAAGTGAAACCATCTCTAAAAGAAAACATTTGGGCACTTTCTGGTGAGACTATTCTTGAAAACCATAGTTCAAATTACATTTTTTTTTGTTCATGTGCGGCATTTAATTAGCCACGGTATCAATATACCATCATTAACCCTCCCCCCCCCCAATTTAGTGGCAGAGTTCACAGCAAGAGGCAAAGTGCCACTTAACAAGTATTATTTAGGCCCTGGTTAATGTATTGCATTTAATGTTTCACCCGTTTTATTAATATATAAAATTATAATCTGTAATTTGTGACTGGGTCTTTTTAAAGGATATTTTCTGTTCATGCCCCCCCCCCCCCCCCCTTTTTTTTTTGCATTAACGTGGCAAGTGATTTAAAAAAAATTTAAAACATACCTTGGTTGCCTTTTTCTGTGCTTCCTTGACTTTAACCTTTTCTTTGTAAGCTCTGAGGATAGAGAGAAAAAGGATATCAAAATAATATCAAAGGGCACCTGAAACGATAAGCTAGAAAAAAAAAAAATTGGTATGTATACTGACTTGTAATCATCACCTAGGACTGACTGACTACGCATGTGGTCCTTTACACATTTATTAGTTCACACACATGATAGGCACAAGACTGTCAAGCATATTCTTTATCTTCTCTTTCATAGATCTTTCCAGTGGTCACAACATGTTTTAGTTTCACTCTTCTTTTCGAACAGTCATGGATACATGTTTACACAGATGGATCAGCAACCAGTGCGGTTAAAAATGGTGGTGCTGGAGTCTTTATTACATACCCAGGCAACCACCGCCACACAAAGTGGATACCCACTGGTAAATTCTGTTCCAACTACACAGCAGAGATTGTAGCACTAGAGCAGGCTGCCGAAATGTTACACAACACCAGTTCTGACTGCCACCAAGTGGTTATATTCACAGATGCGTTTTCAGTGCTTCAAGCCCTCAAGAGTGGCAAACTCCCTCACTTGAGATCTGAACTTGGCAAGGTGGCTGACCAAAAGTGTACTGTACTCCAGTGGGTGCCATCCCACTGTGGTATACCAGGAAATGAAACCGCAGATAAACTTGCTAAAGGGGCAGAATGTGACCAGGAAGAGAATGCAGTAACATACTATGAGAAGAAAAGGGCCATCCAGGCTATTAGAAGTGAACAGAGTCTGGCCAAAGATGACTACCACTTACTTGACCGACGTGGGCAGGTCATTGTCCTACGTCTCAGGACAGGACATAAACTTAACCAGCATATGCACAGGCTTCGTCTAAGTAGTTCACCTTTTTGCCCTTGTGGGCTATGTGTGCAAGACTGTCCCTTGTTCAGCCCATTAAGAAAGGAATACTGGCCCAGTGAGTCATCACTGTACACTAAGTTGTATGGGACTAAAAAGGAACTCATAAAAACAGTCAAGTTTATCACAAGAACCTGTCTGTCGGTGTAAATCAGAAAGCGAACACAAGAAGAAGACTTCTTTTACCGAAAAATGACTTGTCTATGATGTCTGTGATAAGTTGTCTTCAGACTCCCACCTCTTTCAAAACCTCTTTGCTCTTTTTGGCTGTCCAGGGTATTTTAGTCATTTTTCTGTAAAACCACATCTCTGAAGCCTCCAGAAATTGGCTTGCCTCCCAATGGCTTTTTATATAGTCAGGGCAAAGCAATCAAACTATTGAGTCATATGCTATGTGTAGGCCACATATATCTAAAGAGATAAAAACTGACAAATGTTAAGTGGCACACACAGAAGAGGGGGAAAAGCTGAAATGTTGACTTCTGTGGTTATCAAAACCACCAGGGGAAAAAAAACATATATAATTTATAGAACAGTTGAGTAGGCAAACACTGAAAGAAGAAAAAAAAAGACAAAGATGATTAAAAGTGGTGTCTGCTTTTGATCAGATACTTGAGGGAGAGACTGACAAAAAAGGCACATGAGGAAAGAGGACGCAAACAAGACAGTAAGTAAGAAAAAAGGCAAACAAAGGGAAAGTTAAGGCAGAAGAACACTATATAACAATACAAAAGGAGAGAGAAAGCAAGAGAAAAAGGAAGTTACAGAGGTACACACACACAAAACCTGCGTTAACTAAAATTAAAGAAAACAAAGGCTGGCTTCCTATCAAAACAATTCCCCATCCCAGGTGCACGCTCAGCTCAACTTCTTGTGTACTGTCTTTTACTTTTGGTCACAAGAATGTGCAATATGGTTGGGAAAGGCGTGCAGTTGCTTTGTTCTTTGATGTAGTGATAATGACAGTGTCTAACAAATGTCATTACTTCTGATTTGTTTCATATACCATTACTGGAGCTCTTTGACATTTCAAGGCCTTTCAAGACTAGAAATAGACAAGCTGCTATGAGCTTCACAAGTTGCACACTGACAGACCACACAGACAGCTGCTGCAGTTGATGTCAAGATAAGCTGGTAAAGTAAAAAGAAAAAGTACCTGATAGCCTGCTCACGCTGGGCTTTGCGAACCTCCGGTTTCTGGTTTCTCTTGGCCAGAATATCATTGAGGGTGGCTCCAGTAATGGCCCTCTGGAACTTCTGAGTGCGGCGTGTCTTCTTTTTAGTCACCTCCTCAGTTTGGCCCTTTTTGTGCTTCCTTCTGTAAAGCACAGTCCAGTTGATGTTTCTGGGGTTGCGCTTCATCATGTGGGAGCGCTCACATTTGTGGCTTAAAAAGTTGAAAGTCTAAAAGACAAAACATACAAACTAAACTTTGTATGGATACATGCACTTGTTTGTATAATTAAAGACGTGCATTTCAGTACACTAAATTAGAGACTAGGAAGCAAAAATTCTTTAATATACAATTGTTAAAATTTACTGTACTGCAACTTTAATTGCCTAAAATTAATAATACTCGCCATAAGCAAGGTACCATGTTCAATTTTATTGTTCATTATCCACTGGCTCTACAACTGCAATAAAACAATTCCAACATCAATGGTTGAGCATTTCTTTGGCACACCTCTAAAGCAGTGAAAGATGGTGACTTGTAATAGAAGAAATTAGCTCACATGCTGTGCTTGGCTTTAGGTAACAAAAACTTGGCACAGAAAAATGTTTCTTTGATATTGAAGTTTTTCAAGGCTTGGATAAGAACTGCTGGGATACAGTGAAGGCTTGTAGCAGGGCATCCTCCACAGTATATGATACATTTATCTTGTGAATGACGAACTAGGAATTGACATCATGGCACTTAGGATATTCAGAAAAAAGTTATGTCCCTATTTTTAGCTACAAGTGGGGAGATTTCGAAACAGGACCGTATATCTCACACTTGACTTGAATGCTGAGTGCCAGCGGCACGCAAGGAAGTGCTTAGGTGCTTAGCACTGCAGAAAGCAGTGAAAGGTTGGCTAGCTGTTTTCAGTAGTATGCTTAAGATTCGTAGAACCAACCCTACTTCCTTCTACACGCCTAAATACTGAAGCAATGAAGTTTAGGCAAACGGGTCAATGACTCACCTGGAAGAAGACAGGCACCAATTAAGTCAGATATTTTTTTTCTGCCCTGCCATGTGATAGGTCTGGCAAGCCAGTGTAAATGATTGCAACTCCAAAAAAAAAATGAATACATTTAATAGGAGACTTGTACGGACATCAGACAGGGAACAAAGAAGAGACAGGGTTATAAATACCAGAGAAAGTTGTAATAAGACCATGTCTAGATTACACTGGCAGAAAGAATGAAACAGTTTAGCCATCTAGTGAGAATGCAGCCAGACCAAACTACATATGAGACCTTTCACAGCAGAACATATATTAGGGTGTTTAGTCAAAATTTATTTTTTGGGCCTTTTGCTTTTAAACCATGATAGCTGCTTAGAGGTTAAAAAACAGAGTTCAACGGTACCTCAATGAAGTCTGTATGTCAGTTCTAAGCGGAGATATTCACATTTTAGTGACGGAAAGTGCTCCCAAAAATTATAATGGAAAAAACAGAAACAAGATGGCGGCCTGTTCCCAAGTGAAAACTGGACTTAAAGTGACAAAATTTGTATGTTTTATGTCTACTCGTCTTATGTTTTTTGCTGAACCCCTTAGCAACCATATATCATTGCATTCAGGGCAGCAAGCTCTAACTAAAGTTGTTGGTTTTTAAAAAATATAATGTAATGCAAATCTAATTAACAAAGAAAAATGGGTCAAATTATCAGTATTATTAATTAAATACCTTATGAATTAATGATTATTATCTGTTGAGTGAGTCTTGCAAGACGTATACTGTAATATGCATACTTTTGTAACGATTCTCTGTGTTATGATGTATCTCTTCCTATTTGTTGAAAAATGCTTTTTCTCGTACTGTCACTTTTGTGTGTGTGTGTGTGTGTGTGTGTGCACATCTGACCGAAATTGGCTTTGCTTATTTATTATTCCACTGTTAAAAAATGTTCAATAGTGAGTGGATTGACGTCATTGCATCGTTACTGGTTTCATATGGATTGGTCTTTCTCCACATAACCGTGAATAGCTAGCCGCATGCCAAGAGCTTAGCACGAAGACTGAATACCGTAGCTCCAGCAACAGTCCTCAGAGATCCCCGTTAACCCAAAAAATTCATTTTTGAGTTGAACAACGCAGCTGTAAAATTAACGCACCGCAACCTTCCAAGTGCGAGGTTAACGGCTTGACCACTTTGCTACGGAGACCCACATATTGTTTGATAACGAAGTGAAAACATGCACTCTTCTTACTGATTTAACATAATCCCTTTTTCAGTCTTCGCAAGTTATTCTTTCATTTTATTGATAATGAGTGCATTTCACCAGAGAGTCCCCTTCTTCTTAACCAGTCACTGCTCAATATTTTATTTGTTCAAAATATTCTAAAGTATTCACTCATACCTAATTTGTGATTCAGTGCTATGTTTTCATGGAGTAAAATTATTAAATAAGTTCCTTTGTGATTCACTTTGGATTTATGTTGTGTTTTCACGGAGCAGTGTTTCATAAGGTAAGAGTCAATAGTACATTCTACTTTATAAATTAACGTATCTATGAGTCACTATGACTCATGTGATCTGTTTGCTGGCTAGTATATATTATCTGACATTACAGTTTCTTTTTAAATGCTCAAGATATGTGTCTGTGGGGAAAGAAATTAATTTTCTGAGCATGGAATGGATCCCTCAGGCAAAGCAAAAATGTTTTAGGAATTCACTCAGTATTACTAACACAAACATTTTTTTTTAAATTCATTTATGGCAGATTTGTGTATAGCCTATACTATAGAAAAAAATCAATAAATAATAGTTAGTATAATTTATACTAACTAATAATTTATTGATTTTATTTTACTGCTTTAATAATTTTTTTATTTTTTTTTTCCTCATAAAAAAATGATTTTAATAAATTAACTAATAATATATTACTGTTTTATTCTAATTTCCTTTATTTGATAAATTATTAAATAGAAAATAATAGTATTAGTAAGCTTATTATTTAAGAAATATCAAGAAGTCCACACATGTGGCGGCCATCGCCCCACCATCGGTGAAATTCTGAGTGTGTGGGGTCAACAGGTAAAAATAATCTCAAACAAAGAATTTGTCAAATAAAATTATAATTTATGCCTTAATAAACACTAAAGTGGCTACAGATTTGAAAAAATATAACATTAGCACTGTAACATTCACTGATTTGCATCAATTTGTTTTATTAATGCATCATCTGTGTTCAGCCTCAAAGCAAAACTGAGAAAATTAATCAGCCATTAGGTGTGTCATAAAACTAGTCATTATAATATTTTGAGCTATTTAAATTTATCAGAGGCAATAAAACCACAAAGATAAATTACTATTTCAACTTTAAATTGTATTATTTGAACATTAATTTGCCCTGATAATAAGCATTATCAATATAAAACAGACATGATTTTTTTAGCATGCCGTCCGCCATTTTGTTTCAACCTTATTAATTCAACTAATTCTAAAAGACTTGATCGCGAAAAAAATTTATATCTGAAAACATTGACGTCAATTCTAACTCAAACTTCACAACTGTATGTAAAAATGGACGCAGAATTCATTTATACCACAATAGAGATTGTACAATGCCTAAAAAAAGAGTTATTAAAGAACCTTACTTCCCGTAATTCAAATAATAAGATATCTTTCACTGAGCTAGTATTTTTTCTAAAACATGTGCTGTTTGGCAGTCTGACCTCTGCTAAAGGTATCGCACGTGTTCGCGTTCGTTTCTAAACAGCTAGTATCGAGTGACTCGGGTTTTAATAGTGACTAGTAAAGGAACGCTTAAAATTCGGGGACAGGAAGTCCTTCACGTAACTAGGCAGTCCCAGCATTCTGTAAAAAGGGGCGTGTCCCCGACAACGAATAGCCTACATATATGGGAGAAAGGTGAGAGGAAAAAGAAAAATGGATAAATAGTGTAGTTAAAACCATCAAAAAGAAGAAGAAATTCACCAACCAAGCCACCTAAGAAGCTCAAGACCAATACCAAAAACAACAGAACTGGTCTACACAAACAGGTAAACCTGTAGTTTTTGCTTAATAAAAACGAGGAACAAAGCTGAGCATCGGCCAGATACTGATCCTTGCAGTGCAATTCTAAGGTAGTAATAATTTTGACGCCACAGTTTACTCTTCCTAAGAATATTTACAACATCTAGCCTGTGCTTCAATTCACTAACAAGTGCTGCAAAACTAATGTAGCTCAATTTACAACAACATGACCTGAGAAAATATCTAGAGGGTGCTAACTTTCTAGGACCTCTAAAGCGATGCTTGCCACTCTGCATGCAGCATACTTGTTCACATGTTCTGTGAATCAGTCACCATCACCATAACTATAACATGAGCACATGATTTTCAAGCAAGTGAAAGGCAGCAGTTACTGTCTCCGCTTTCATTTTTAACCTATCATTTGCCAGGCTTTTTTGCATTTACTTTGGCTATGAGCTCCATGCACTTTGCCTCTCAACACAACTTTCTACCTTGTAAAGTAGTGCAAGCAAGTGGGATGTGAGTTTTCTGACAAAAGCAATAAAAATGATACATTGGAACAAGAGCAATAATAAAAAGGACAGTAACTAGAAGACAGCTTGTGAAAAAAAAAAAAAATGCAAAAGCAACAAAAGCCCTGAATACTGTGCACTTGTTCTAAATTTCTGGTTGATGTAAACTGCTAGTTTCTCACATGAGGCTGATTTTCCTGCATCTCAATGACAAATTTAACACAATTATGGGGGGGGGGGGGGGGGGGGGGGAGGGAGAGAGAGAGAGAGAGAGAGAGAGAGAGAGAGAGAGAGAGAGAGAGAGAGAGAGAGAGAGAGAGAGAGAGAGAGAGAGAGATTTGAAATAGTGTTTTACTTCCATTTTACAAGACAGCAATGTAATTTACATCTGTGAATTATGCAAAAACGGGTTAAGTAAACCACGTTTCCACTGAAAAAGAGGGAAAGGGGATGTCACACTTTACTTCAAAGTTAACTCTTTGAGTCCCATGGGGTTTAGCATCACAGGATCAGGGGGTAGTAAAGAAAACAAAATCATGCGTTCATTGGGCTTCTAGGTAGGAACCTATGAATATAATGCGTTTCTTCGGACTCAGGAGTTAATACATCAGCGTAAAACGGACTTCAATAAAGTCTAAAGTGAACGATCAAACTTTGCAGCTGAGTTCATAGCCGGTACACATAAAGAATTATATCAGCAGTGTTTATGGGACACGGAGTATAACAGTTAGTATGTTAGAGTACCTTGTGTTATACTGGAATAAGGCTTTTAATTTTTGCCATGTGAAATTAAAACGTTTTGTCACCTACAACCATTAAATTTCATGTACACCATGGCAGGTAAAGTAACAGTGTAAGTAGAATAGGCTCTCCTGTAAACTACGGCCGGTTAGTCAGAGTTCTGTCCCTTGGCTACAGTGCAATTACGGAGTGGAAAAGGCACGAATCACAACACAAAGTGATGTCGACATGGCTGCTAGACCTAGACCACGTTACATGTGTTACCCTAACCCAAACCGTATGACTATAGCAGGGCAGTGCAAGCTGTCTATCGCCAACACACAGTAATTGTGTCAATTGTGTTGTTCCCTCCTTTTACACTCCGTGATTGCACTGTAGCCAAGGGACAGAACTAGACTAACCGGCCGTAGTTGACAGGAGCTGTAGAATGTGATCAAGGGCAATACCAGAAATGTGAACACAACCAGCAGAGCTAGGACAAACAGGTGGACACCTATTTTGTGATCGAGGACTGGTTTACTTTTCAATGGGATTATTCTTCTTTCGTTGGCTTGAAATAGATTATCTATATCTGCAATGTCTCTAGTGTGAACTTTACTGTCTTTTGTCATTCGCTCAGCGACCCGTATAAAGTTTGACTTGCACTGATGTTTCTCTTGGCCAAACTTTTTGCCTTGATGTATTTGGGACTGTCTTGGAGGATATGATGTGTTGTCTCAGGTGCCAGTCCACATGGCTGATTCGTCGATTTTATGTTTTGTACATGTGGCTGTTCTAAGGCGTAGAATAATAACTTGCTCTGGTGTATCCATAAAATGGTTATTGTCTTGTGCAGGTTTTGGTGGCTTTCTAATTGATTTAATTATTCTCTTCTTTTGTTGATTAGAGACTGGTATGTCAGGTTGTTCTTCATTTGCACCTTCCCTAGCTAGTTTACCAGCTCTGTTCTTTCCAGGAACTCCAAGCAGTGGGATGGTATCCGTTACACCGGCTGCCTAATTTGCAATTTTTCTCTCACTTTACAGACAACTGTATTTGAATCCTTAATCTAACTAAACAAATCAATACTCACCCTGCCATCAGCCTTGACCAGGCGCCTGCCATGGCCTGGGTAGATTTTGTACCCACTGTATGAACAGAGTTCGATTCTGAAAACAAAAGTTTACCTGACTATCATATGGGCAAGAAAATACATAAATAAAACGACACTTTAACAATTTCGTGTAGAAGAAGCATTAAATATAGTTTTTAAACTGTATGATTTCAACTTAAAACTATTTGTTTAATTATAATAACCATTGAATAACCAGATGAAATCGGATTATTTGTCGGAACCAGCACGATTCTTTACCTCATCTTGACGATCAGATTCACCAAAAGAACTTCCGTTAGCAGGACCGCGGTAAATTGCCAAATAAGCTGTTGCCAGCGATATTCCAACTGTGGCCAAATCAACGCTAATTGAAGCTAAAATTTGCCGGTTATTTATTTTAAGTTAGAAAGTTAAAATCTGTTACCACGGTACAATAAATATATACATAAAAATACAAGTCAAATCATCAGAATTTGATTTAGTTTGTACGTGTCTTTCATTTCGTGTGGATTTCTGCTGGGAACCCCGGTTTATACCAAACAAATGTAAAAATATATATTTGTTTATATTTATATATATGCATATGCATATATATATATATATATATATATATATATATATATATATATATATATCATCGTGTGCCCTGCCAACTGGCGTAGGCACCCATGCGTCTCCACATATCACTATCCCTGGTTTGCCTGGAACAGCTCTCTTGTGGATATCCCTTCATGCCATCGTTTCAGCCCATCCAGCATCATCTCTCTTGGTCTGCCTCAACCCCATTTTCCACTGATCTTTCAAGTTGTCACGATGTTCAATGTATCTCTTCTCATTATGTGGCCTAAGAACAGTGTTTGTCTCTTTCTTATTGTTGTATGTAGAGATCTACTTTCCTTAGCTCCTTTCAACCTATCGTTGTAAGTTACTCTGGCCGTCCAAGGTATTCATAGCATTGGTCCTTTCTTAGCACTCTCCATCCCCACAATATCCATCAGTTGTTGTAAATCAGTTGCATTTTCAGCTATCAAAACTGTATCGTCTGCATAATGCAAATTGTTTATATTGTATACTCCAACTCTTACTCCTGCATTCTCTCGAATTTCCCATAAAATTATTTCACTATATAGAGAGAAAGGGTCTGGGGATAAGACACATGCCTGTCTTACTCCTTGCTTTATGTTTTTAAAAGAACAAAATCTGTTTCCCATTTCAATTGCTTCTACTTGGTTCCAGTAAATGCTTTTAATTATTCTGAGATCTTTCCCGTCTACATTGATGTCTTCCAACATTTGTATCATCTCCTCATGTTTAACTTTGTCAAAAGCTTTGGTATAATCTATAAAGCACAAATATAAGTCCTTTTGTATGTCCATTGATCTTTCTATCAGTGTATGTAATATGTATATTGCATTGCTTGTCCCTTAACCTTTCATAAATCCATACTGCTCTTCACTCATTTCCATTCTTATTTTTCATTTTGTTCTTATCATTATAATTCTCAGTAGTAATTTGGTGACATGATTTATTAAGTTGATTGTACGAAATTCTTCACACTCAATTGCTCCTGGTCTTTTGGGTAAAGCAATAAATACAGATTTCATCATATTACTTAGAATGTAACCAGTGTCATAAATGTCATTCGTCAGTTTATTTAATATTTCTACCCCAAATTCCCTTGTACTTCTAATTCTCCTACTGAAATTTTATCTGGCCCAGTTGACTTCATATGTTTAATAGTATCGCTAACTTCTTCTTTAGTTTAGACGGACCTTCTAAATTTCTTTCTTCTGGTAATTCTGCTCTCTTTCCATCAAATAATTCTCTTATGCATTCATCCCATCTAGTTATTATATCATCTTCCTCCATTAAGATCTCTCCTGCCTTTGATTTCAGTCATCCTGTGTTTACTAGTATCTTTCTTCCAGTTCGATCGTTAATTTCTTTCTGCAAACTTTTTGCATTGTTAACGGGACTGTGTTCAATTTTATTACATTGTTCATTTAGCCACTCTTCTTTTGCCTTCATACACCTATGCCTTATTTCTTCATTTATCATGTCATATCCTTCTTTGTTATTCGTACACTGCTTTCTGTCACTCATTAACTTTATAAGTTCTTCAGTCATCCATTTCTGTTTAGCTATTTGTCTTCCCTCTGGTAAAATCTGTTTGCTTGTTTGATAGATAGACTCCTTCAGCATTTCCCACAATTCGTTTATCGTTTATATTTTGGGTATTGCGTTTTACCTGTTTCTCACAATCACTCTATATCGCCCCTAATGTCTTTATCCTCTCTTAGAATATCTTTGTTTAGTCTACAGTTTTTGATTTCTTTCTTTCCCCTCTTCAGTCGTACATTTAATTTTCCACATAATATGACGTGGTCTCTGTTACAGTCAGCACTAGGTCTTGTCTTCACATTTGTCAGTGCATTTCTGAACCTTTTGGTAATTAGTATATAATCTATTTGATTGAGTGTTTTCTTAACTGGGCTTTCCCACGTAATTAATTGTCTCTTATGTTGTTTAAACCAGGTGTTTCCAATCATCATATCATTTATTTTCGCCCATTCTACCAGAGTTTCACATCTTTCATTTTTTTTAATCCTAAACCATATTCCCCAACTACATCTTCCGTTCTCTCTTTCCCAACTTTTGCAATAAAATCTCCTAAGATTATTTCAATTTCTTGTGGTTCTGTTTTGGCAATAGTCAGATTTAAATCTTCCTAAAATTTTGCTATTTTCTCTTCACTGCTAAATGATGTTGGGGCATACACTTGCATTAAGTTTACATCTCTTGGTTTTCCTTTGATTTTAATCATATTAACCGTATCTGATATACTCCAGTAACCCACAATTGCTTTTGCTGTTTCTTTATCAAAAAGAATCCCCACCCCTTTTCCTGTTTGCCGCTTCCCGAGTCGATTATTGTGTACTTATCTTTTCTGATCGTCCCAGCACCCTTCTATCTCGTTTCACTCATTCCTAGGTTGTTTATCTTCATACATTACATTACTTTTATAACATTTGATGTCTTTCCCAATTCTGCAAGTGTCCTCACATTCCACGTTGCTAGTGTACCACTTGTAATTGTCATGACTTTTTAAAGATTGCCATCAGTAACCTGATGAGGATCTGGTGTCATCTGTGACTCGTGACAGTCCCTACCGGACGAGGTTGTCCTTAGACTTCCATTTGTTGCATATTGTCACATCTCCCTTTGCACCTTTGATAGTGACTGTGGTAAACTCAGTATCACCACGCTGAGACATCTGAGTTTCCCAAGCTGTGATTGTGTTCTAGACAGCAGTCAAGACTCCTCCTTTTGGACGATCTAACCTGTCGTGACAGAAGATTTGGTATTTTCTGATAGAGAATCTGTGTGCATCTTTACTGTCATCCTCACTGGAACAAGAGGAAGACACAGCGTAAACCTTTTCAGATGTAAAATCTTTAAGCATTTTCTCAGATGTGATGAAATCTTTGCAACTCATATATAATGATGGCCTATTTCTTGTTCCGAAAATTATCAATTAGGTCACCCTGCATTATTACTAAGGGAAATAACCTGCTAAACTACTGGTAATATTTACCTGGCACAGGTAATTAACGTTTACGTCATTTTTAGGATGAAATTTGTTGTTATTTGAAGCCCCACCCTGGCTTTTGCCAGGGGCCGCAATATAGGCAGGCCATAAATATGGCCAATTGTCTGAACGCGGTGATCCTCATCCACATGGTGGCACTTTGTGTCACTGGGTGTTTATCGCTTGTGTGATGTCCTAGTGGGGTAGAAAGTCAGTACGTCCTTTTAATTCAATCATTACGTCCTATTTAGGACGTAATTTTTTGTTATTTGAAGCCCCACTCTGGCTTTTACCAGGGGCCGCAATATAGGCAGGCCATAAATATGGCCAATTGTCTGAACGCGGTTTCTGGGACCTCTCCACGGTGATTCTCATCCGCATGGTGGCACTTTGTGTCATCGGGTGTTTATCGCTTGTGTGATGTCCTGGTGGGGTAGAAATTCAGTCAGTCAGTCAGTACGTCCTTCAATTATTATTTCCAATTTCGTCCTTTTCAGGACGAAATTTTTTGTCATTTGAAGCCCTACTCTGGCTTTTTTCCAGGGGCCGCAATATAGGCAGGCCATACATATGGCCAAATGTCTGAACGCGGTTTCTGGGACCTCTCCACGGTGATCCTCATCCGCATGGTGGCATTTTGTGTCATCGGGTGTTTATCGCTTGTGTGATGTCCTAGTGGGGTAGAAAGCCAATCCAATCCAGTACGTCCTTTCCAGAGCATAATTTTTTGTTATTTGAAGCCCCACTCTGGCTTTTGCCAGGGGCCGCAATATAGGCAGGCCATAAATATGGCCAATTGTCTGAACGCGGTTTCTGGGACCTCTCCACGGCGATCCTCATCCACATGGTGGCACTTTGTGTCATCGGGTGTTTATCCCTTGTGTGATGTCCTGGAGGGGTAGAAACTGCTAAACTGTGAATACTTTAGTCTATGGAGTTGTCAGCCTGCTTTTCAATTTAAATGTCAGATGCTTTTTGGTAATCAGTCGAACACAAACATTAGTAACAGGATAGGGGTTTGTTGAAACAAATAAATTAAAACAGCAGAAATACTTGACATCTTTCCATAATGTATTGTACAAAAGATTCAGCATAATTTCCGCTACAAATGAGCAGATTTAGTCGTTACCAAATAGTTACAACACTCGGTGGGCAAACAATTTATCGAGGGGAGGTTGTAGTAGCTTTGGCCGGCTGCTACACCTCTTAATGTTCTAAATATATAAAAGGTTAGCGGATTTCCTAGAAACGCTAGTTTATAAATACTTCTTCCAAAAGTCCATGCTGTGGCATTTTTGTGTTGTTTGACAAAGGCTGCCCAGCCGAAACGTTACGTAATTTGTGTTGTTTTGTGCACGTTTTTCTGCTTCCCCATTTTGTTGAGCTTTTAGTCAAATTTCTCTGGAATTCTTGGTAGCATAGGAAGTCACGTCTACCCACAACTTTCTGTCTCGTGTACTTTCAATCAATTATGGCACTGATGATGTTCCATGCCATTTTTTTAACTGTCCAAAATCTTCTCCACTAACTTACCCACTGTCACGATGCACTCCAGTTTTCTTCTTATGACATGACCGAAGAGTGTAGATTGTCTCCTTCTGATGTGGGCAATCAGTTTGTCATCATGAATCAGTTTCTTTAAGACGTCTGCTTTAAGTGCAGGCGATATAATAT